CAGGGGCTGCACCAAGAAGATGAAGATCTCACGCATGGCCATGGGCAATGCGGGTCCGCACAAGGAGGAGAAGGTGCTGAGCATCACCGTGAAGCCGGGCTGGAAGGCCGGCACCAAGATCACCTTCCCCAAAGAGGGCGATGCGGCGCCCAACAAGATACCGGCTGACATCATCTTCATAATACGCGACAAGCCGCATGCGCAGTTCAAGCGCGAGGGCATCGATCTGAAGTACACAGCCCAGGTCAGTCTGAAGCAGGCCTTGTGCGGAGCACCAGTTAGTGTGCCCACGCTGCAGGGCGATCGGATTCCGGTTAACACCAACAACGAGATCATCAAGCCCACCACCACCAGAAGAATTAGTGGACGGGGCCTGCCCGTGCCCAAGGAGCCTTCGAGGCGCGGCGACCTGATCGTGTCCTTCGACATCAAGTTCCCCGACACACTGCCGCCCAGCCTGCGAAACCAGCTGGCCGAGCTGCTGCCCAACTAGGCGGGAAGATGTGCCAGCAGACTCACACACACACACACACACTATTGTTATCACTTTAGTTAAGGCTAAATTTTAGTTATACCGTACGTACTCGTAAGACAGCTAACCAATTGTAGACCGAAGTTAGTGAGTGTGCCAAGCGAACAGCTGTAGATATGGCCGAGGATGCAGACGCTAGATAAGATAGGGAAGAGAATACACACACAGAGAGCCCGTTTTGTGTTGGAGACTGATCGACTATTGATTAATATACCCTAGTCCACACCAATTCCATAATTCGTTTTGTTTACCGCCGTTTCGGTCGGTGCTTAACATCTCCTTATATTTAATAATTCAAGCACTTCAAGATAAGAAATAAAGGTATTATAAATTGAAAGTAAATAGCGATTTTTGAAAAAAGGCACAGCTTCGGCATTCCAAATCCAACACGGCAGGTTATATCAGTTAAAAAGAACTCTTCTAGTTTTAAATGCAGTAGGAAATAGTACGTTTTAGTACCAGTTTAATTATGTTTAACAATAAAATTATTTATAAAATAATCGTGTGCTCGTTTTGGGTCAGTGGGGTACAGCGAATTTGGGAAAATGAATTCTCTTGATGTTGCACGTGGAGGGGAAGTAGCCAAATACTAAATTTCCTTAAAACGTCTATTGTTTTGATTTTCTTATTCGTAAGTAAACAGGAAATGCGCGCCAACTAATTTAAAAGTCTACTTACGATCCAATACCGTCGAAAGAGACGCCACCTAGCGTGTATATTTGTAAGTTGGGTAATGATTTTAAGACTGTCTGGCAACAACGGCAAAAGAAATGTAAAATTATTCCAGGACTGAACTCTACAGAGTAGACAAGAGAGGCGACCCTCTGTGGCGAAATTAGGAAGCTGTTATTGCCAATTCACATTAGTTCCAAATTTTCCCAAAATATTGCACCGTCAACTTCTGCTGTTCCTATTTTATGGCGTTTAACCCATTATATTTAGTATATTTCGATTCCATAACTAAGAAGACGTTGAAGGTAGATTGTAGCAGTGTGAATTAGAGTTTTACTTTTTCATGAATGCTGAGCATTAAAGAGTTCCGTAAACTCACTTATATTCATTATTTTTAATATCCTGATTCCATTGGCGCATTAATGAACTTCTTAAATATGCTTGACGCCATTAAGCTCATGCTAATACTACCGACATTTGGGGAATTCGTTTTGTAATTATAATGAATTAAATTTTTAATTGAGCTCTGACAATTTATTTTTTTAGAATACACCTTTGGAACAGAGGCCAAACTTTTGATGATGAGACACTGAGATACTGAGATGCCCGTTTCAAATTTTGTAAAATAAAAAAGTAAAGATTGCTGAAAAGGTCAGACAGGCTCAAACGCCAAAGACTCAACCTAAATCATGGCTCGATTTAATGAGCGGAGTCCCAGTTGAGCCTGAAATCCCAAAAAGGCGAGAAGTAAAAAGGCTTTCGAATTTAGATTCTTTTTTAAATTTCACATTTTATTTTCTTTTGTTTTCACTTCAAAAGGATTTCGTAATTTAATCATTTGTCACACATTTTCACTATCCTTATGTTTGAGTGTTAAGTTGCATTTGCAATTGTATAATCATTGTGTATTTTTTTTTTTTTTTTAATGTTGCATTTTTTGTTTTTCATGTTCTCAAAAAGTATTAACATCCATTGCAAGTTCTTTTTTTTATATATATGTGTTGTTCTGGTTGCAGCTGCTTTTTAAGTTTTACAATAAAAATTGAATTTTAATGTTCGTTTCTTGCTGTTGTCCATTGTTAATGGCTACACTTGTTTCCAATGCTGCTGCACTTGCTATTGATTTTTGTTTAGATTTTGGATTTCGTGTGGCTGACTTACAAATTGTATTTAATATGCAATTGTTTACCCTCGTACATCCTGCTGCCTTGCTCTTGCCAAAAGGAAAGTGTGATAAGAGATAACTAACAATACGCTCAAACAAATCAAATATCCGATAACAATTTGTTAAAAGAGATTCCAGTGCGTCGTGTGCACGTGAACTTAATTAAATGAGTACATTGTTTGGCTCTCAAACATTCGTATAATAGAGACTATGTATATATATATAATAAAAATGCTTTAAAAATAGTCAAATGCGTACAAAAAGTTTCACGCCACGTTCATTCGCTTTCAAATGAGTTTCATAATTTAACTATTTCATTTCGCTAAAGTCTTCCAACTGACTGGTTGAGTTTTGTTTTTTTTTATTATTAATTATTATTTACTTTGCCTCTGTCAAACTTATACAAACTGTAAAAATTATGTTAAAATGTTGTGATTTGGTATTTGGTAAATTTCTCCTTGTATTCCCGTGTTTGATTAGCTTTCATCATCGACGAAGATGAAGATTTATCATTAGAATGCTGTATACATTTAGAATTTCTATTTACTCCACTTCTTATAGCTTTCTATGGTCTGTAGTTTAAATTATTACTTTCGTTTTTATTTTCTTTTCATCATTTAATTAAAGTTTACTTTTGTATATTTAATTCAATTTGATTGGAAACCTAAAAAATGTTTTGATTATGTTTCGATTTGTTGCTACATGGTTCAATGGGTTTTAGGGGTAAAAAAAATGAATGAGTTATCCTGTGAATGAAGGTGAAATGCATGAACAATGCCTGCAAGTACACTGAAAAAAACCATTGACAATCGCCACTCGCACGAATAGTGTACGGCCGGAAGAATAAACAGACGTTCAGCAATTGGGGATTTCATTGTTCCTGAATCGAATTAACATCCAAGCTGCATTCACAACCAATTAATTATTATTTCCCATTTGGTAGAATTTTCATTGATTTGACTATATATTTTTATTATTTTGCTAAAAATTCGTCCTACAAAAATTGAAAAACCATAGGGTATTGAGACGTAGGGAAATCAAAACTATTTTTTAATTAGGGTTTCAAAAATTGTGCCTTTGTCTATGGGGTTTTCGGGGCTTGGGATTGGTTTCCATTGTTTAACTATAATTCTGTTGTCATTGTTTCTCGATTCTTAAAGTGTTCAAAGTGAAGTTCTTAATTATTATTGTAATTCTGCTAGAAGGTGTCGTCTTTTTTTGGTTTGTGTTGGTTTTCTTTACGCTTGTATATTTTTGCTTTTATTTTTTTCTCTTGCATAGTTTTATAATTTATTTAAATGTTTGCCCGCATTAACATATTCAGTTTGCTTTGCTTGAGTTAATTTTTGGTTTCTTGTTTTTTGCTGATTGGATTCTTTGTGGCGGTCTGTAGACCAATTTAATTGCATGGAGTCGCTTGCGATTTTTCGCTTTATTATTATTTCCTTTTTTTAAGTTTACCATTTAACATTTTGACTAAATTTGTTCTATTTTTCGTTTATGTGTACGTGGAATTTGTATGGTATTTTTATGTATTTTTCAGTGTACTTCCTACATACTAAACATTTTCATTGCTGTTTTGGTTTTTAATTTTCTCATTACGATTACGAGTGTGTTGATTTGCTTCAGTGTAAGTGGCTTAATTGGCTAAAATGTTTTTCATTTAACCATTTTCGGTTTTATCTTATTTTGCATTTGCATTTGCATTTGACTTTGTTTTCTTTTTTGTTGAAATTCTCTGGGGTTCTTTTGTTTTGTATTTTACTTTTATAATTTAAATTCTCTAAGCCTAAATATAATGGTTGCAATTGGTTTACGGGTTTCCCTCCTCATCGCTTTTAACAGCTTCGTCATCGTCTTGTCCTCAATAAATGTATTTAAATCGAAATTTACTTTCAAGTCTTTTCAGCGACAAATGCATTTGAATTTGTTCTCGTATTTCTTAATCATGTTTAATCTTTTTCCTTAGTTCATATTAAATCTGCTCAAAATCCTTTGCTTTAATTATGCTTTTATTATATGTTTTGCACTTTAAATACAATCAATATAAATCAAAGTCTTCTCTTGGTTTTAATTTATGTTTAAGTTTTTCTTTCTAAAAAGGATCTAGCTGGACCTTTTTGTGGTGCATCTCTTGTTAAAAACGTAAACGTAATTATGACAAAAAACTCTTCGATGTTTTATCCATTAAAAAAGGAGAGGAAACAAACCGAAGCCAAGCATTCTTCAAAAGCCAAACACATCCGTTCACCGATGGCCGGTGATTCAATGCATCTTCATTTCGCAGCGTTGAGCTTGAAAAATGCTTTTGGGTTCGCTTCGCCTGCTTTGAACTTTGAACTGTTGCTTTTGCTTTGCTTTTGCTGTTGCTTTCACTTTGCTCTTGCTTTTAGCTGTTTCTGTTGCTGTTGCCTTACACTTGATTAGTTAAAATTGAGAAATCGAACAGAGGAATTAAAGTTGTGGGCTAAGAGCTCTTATGCTTGCTTAGCTTGATACTAAATGTTTTGCTTTGCTTTTTCTGATTTAATTTTTCACATCGTCTTTGCGGGTTGTTGACTGTGGATCTGTGCCTAAATTTATCATGTCTCGTGGTTTCCACACCGGGGACCCTACAATTAAATGAAAGAAAAGAAAAGATACAATGGAAACCATATATGAAAAAATATGAAATATTTTCGGTTTGGTTTTGCAGAACTTAATTTGTAGTTTCGTTTTAAAATTCAGATAGAAAATATATAGATTTAGAGAGCGAAAGAGTTAGAAAGAGCAAGTGGGGCGTAGTGGAGTAGCATCTCCATTTGGTTATAATACAATTGTGTTTCAACAGATTTTATAATAAGTAAATTGTGGCCAATTCGGATTCGTTTGGTTAAAAAACATGCAATCAAAGTGCCCAAAGTGACCAACCAGCTTTGGCCAGACACTTTCGGCGCTTTTTTGGTTAAAAAATATAAGCAAAACTAATTATTGTTTAATGTAATGAGCACTACTTCAAGCGGGGTTCGCTACTTGATATAGTTTTGGGGACTGGGACTGGGTCTGGGTCTGGTTAGTGGGAGTGATTAACAGCTAATTCAAACAACTAATACTGGGGTTTAAGGGTTTGGGTAGAGTTCTGTTGGCTAAAATGTTGACATCGCTTGGTTCATTTTCTAGTTTATTTAGTTCATTTTAGTTCAGTTTAGTTTAGTTTATTTTAGTTTAGCTTTTATAACTATGGCAAGACTTGGCAAATTTTCGAATTTCAGATCAAAAGTTTTGCATTTTATGCCAACATTTTCCGTTCTGCCTCTTCTGTTTCTCGTGTGTCTTGATAAAGGACTCCAATTCGGTATACAAAATGAAAGGGAGAAATTTATGTACATATATGCGGTGGATACGGGGGAGTTTTTAATTTGGAAAATTGTGGCTGAGTGAGTGGTGAAATGGAAATTGTTTCGCATTTCAGTTAACCCACTTGCTAATTTCAAAATGAGTTTTCCAGATGCGAAAGTCAAAGAGCATGATTCAAAAACGATGGATAAAGTTGTGCATAGATGAAAGTTTCATAAAATTCAATTCAATTCAATTTAATTTTATTTAGTTTGGTACGAAAAACAGAAAATTAAATTTCTGGAAAATAATTGCGTTTCTATGTGTGAAAAAATGCCGAATAAATTCAGGTTTCTGGATTCTGGGGTGGTGGGGAGAAGTGGAGTAGTGGTGGTCGAGTTGTGGGGCACGTGTGTGTAACCATAAGACATATATAATTAGATAAAAATATATAGATCGATTATAATGGACTCTCTTTCGGTTGGCATGGCATTCAGCAGTACAAGATTTGGCTCTAGATCTTCGGCACACTCTGTCATTTGTCGTGATTGAGATTTGATTAAGAAAATGCAAAACGTTCAAATTGAAAAGGAAAACTTGCAAAGTTCATCGATTTTTAATTCGAGTTTTGGTTTTATTAGGTTAGTTGTTTATTTATCAAGCGATGCCAACTAATAATATCAAGTGTTTGTAACAGACACAACAGATACACAGATACGCTATAAAGAGATACACACAAATGCATCGAATAGGCGGGAAATAAAACCTAGTAACTTAACATGCCTAAGGTAACTCGAACTCCGATTCCGACTCCGACTTATGACTAAATATCTAACTAAATTCAACATTATTCGAGTCAATTTTTCATGTGATTAGGGATTTTAGTTATCTTTGAGATAATTGTGTGTAGACAAAATTAAATATCACCCGTAAAATTGTTTAATTACTAATTCAATTCAAGCACTCATCTCCGACAACAAGCGCCGTTTGCCTAATTACAATTGAATACTGCACTTACCTGCTAAGCAACTACTAAACAAATTTAAATGCATAACTAATCGAGGGGAGGTGTCTTTTCAAGAGTCTGGGGATGGGCCAGGAAATCGGTGCATAAACTCTATTAGTTTATTGGTTGCCGTTCACGTTCTAGTCGCTGTCCGTTCACCTTTGATATTTGTTTATTTTTGTGTACTTTATATATTTACTTTTATCTCAAATGCCATTTCGTTAATTGCATTTGAATTGGTTTATGTAGTTCGCTTTAGTTAGTTCAATTTAGTTTGCTGTTTCCATTATTAGTTATGTGTGCTTGCATTCGTTTAGTTTTTACGCATTCGCTTTTCAAGTTTTCAGTTACGTTTGTTGATTTTTCGATTATTTGTTTAGTGGATTTCTGTGTGTTGACCGTGTGGGTGTGTGCACACAAGGATTACCGGTTAAATTTGATATTTGTTATAGTTTTAGTTTTAGTTTTGGTTTTTACTGTTACTCTTAAATGTTCGCTGTCTGCGGCTTCCGCTTAAATCTATTTAGTTTGCCTTTATTTTCGTATATTTCTCTGGTCATCGAGGATTCCCATTTTTCGTTTAACATGTATGTATGCTGTATATGCTGCTGTATATATGCCGTATTTACGATGTATACTTTGATTTTTGAGAATGTTTGTTTGTTTGTTTTTTGTTTGTTTTTGTATCTTGTTTTGATTTTGCTGCTGTGAAGCCCAGTGTAAACTGTAAACTGTAAACGTTCTTGAAGCTTAAACATATTTATTTTGACTAAGTTTTCCTTTGGTTTGTGTTTTTTATTCTGCTTTGAATTCTCGTTACAACAACCTGAAATTTGTTTTCTATATTTAGTCGAGAGTATGGCGGCTTGGGCCAAGGAATCGAATGGAAATTCCCAGCCCGCGCCGCAAAAAGGGAGGATGGTTATGTATACTATATACGCGTATTTTCGTAGCTACCTAAGTGTACATATAATTTGATTACCCATTACTGAACATTGAGGTACGACTTACGATTATCATTCTTTGAATACATCGCCATTTGATCGGTATTCCATTTATTGTATTTTGCTGATTTAATTGAAATGGGAAACGGAAATGGTGGAAAACCCATGCGGAAACTGTTTCATTTGATTTGCCCATCGACTTGTATATATGCATGTATATTTGTTTATATCTATAAAAAACCTATAAAAATCATACAAAAAACCATATGCATATATGCAAATTATTTGTCACAACATTATTGGTACACACACCGATGCCCGTTCGCACAAACGTGCAAATTGGCAATATTTTCTAACTAACTAATGTTTGTTAATTTCTAGTTTTCCTTTTGTCCTTTATGTAAATAATCCCTCGATAGGTATACTCTGTTGTTAGGTATATGTCATGTTAACCCCTGGAAATATTGGCACTCGACCCAAAGTCAGCTTTTTAGTTGCAGATCCATTTTTCGCCAGATAGATGGGTAATTAAAAATGTTTGATTTCATTTGCGGAAATGACACAGTTTTCCCCTGCCTTTGCCCCTGCCCCTTCGCTTTTCCTACCTCTGCTAATAGTTAGTTAGCGACTTGCCACGAAGTTTTTACCTGCCTGTGAGGCGTGTGTCGGCTTGGAGTTTTCTTTTATCTTCATCCTGGCTCCTGGCTGTCTTATTTTTCCCACCCATGTTTCAAGTTGAGTTTGCCATTTGTTTGTCTGCCTGTCTCTTAGTAGTTTACTTGAGTGCGAGTATGAATTTCAACATTAGTTTTAGTTGCTGCTCCAGCTACTGCTGCTACTGCTCTTTTCTGTTGTTTGCCCTCGTAATTACGGCACTTGAGTATTGTGTGTGCAACGCGGCGTATACGTAATATTTCTACTTGCCACCCGAGGCGAGCGGAACTTCCGCCATTTTGTTCTTTAATGTATTGGTATGTGTGTGTGTGTGGGGGGTTATATGATGGGGAGTGTGTAAATCACGGCGAAATGTTCGCGCTCAACTCGACGGCTGCAACTTAAATAATTAACTGGAAAACGGTGGCACACACCCATTATGCAACCTTTCCCTTATCGTGGGTATTAGCTAACCCCACATCCTTTGATTAGTTTTCGGTATGAGCTACATATTTGCTGCGCTAAAAGAGCTAACTACGCTCAGGTTCGGTGACTTACGGCTAACACTTATATAACGAATACTACTGGTATGGGTATTATAATCATCGTCATCATCACTCTGCCACTATTTTAAGAGTGCCTGCTATTGCGCTGCTATTACTTATGCTTGTGGATTTTAGTAGATTGTATATTCTGTAGGCTAAATATTTTTGATTTCAATCCCTTGTGTTGGAAGTTCGTGTTCGGTTTTGTTTACTACCCTTCTTTTTTTTGTATAGTTTGCGTCGTGAGTTTACGTATATCTGAGCTGAGTTCGGTTAAAATTAGTTTTTGTTGAGGCATTTCGGGTTGTTGTTGTTGTTGTTACGCTTTTGGCTGTTAATCTTTGGATTCAAATGTTGTCTCGTTATGGAGTTCCTTAGACATGGATCTCGAAGTAGTCGTGACAGTCCACACATCCGCCGGGTGCCTCGGCATTGCCCATCTCGGGCACGAATCCTATGCCGCCGGTGGCCGTGGGCTGGGCACTGACCACCACCATGCCACGGGGTGTCTTCTTCCGCGTGCGACTCTGCCGCACGCGGGACTTATGCTAGGAGGGTCTCTTCTGGTACAGGCAATCGATGCACGTGGTGTACTCCGGTGCCGAGGAGCTCAACTGATAACCGCCTCCCTGTGGATCATGTTGGCAGCCACCATAGCCTCCCATTTCCTGGGCATAGCTCACATATTGCTGTTGCTGTTGCTGCTGTTGCTGCTGCTGGTGGTGCATTGGTGGCTGGTGCAGCGGTTGTGGCGGATGTCGGGGCAAGGGATCATAGATGGGCTGCGAGGAGAACGTATTCTCGGCGGACTGCGAGCGCAATGGTCCCGAACTGTAGACCACATAATTGCGTTCGGGCGAAACCCCATAGGCCCTCTGGCCATACGAACTGCTTGTGGTTGTGCTGTCCCTGGATGTGGAACGCTCCAGGGATTTGCTCAGCCTGCTGCGGCTACTTGAAGTACCAGCACCATATCGTCCTGTGGGTGCGGCAGCCACATAGTGATCGCTGCACGTCTGGTTGTCATACACCGGATAGTACTGATAGGTCTCCTGGGCCCTGGGCCGCGTGCCCGTCTCGAAGCTTCCGTGGGCGGACATGCTCCGCTTGCGGCTGCCATGCGGCACATCCAGATTATGATCCGACTCGCCGTGGCTATCAAAGCTACTGCGCGGCGAGTGGCGCAGGCAGGAGCTGCTCGTCATGCCCCTGTCCGGCGACAGGTGATCCATGCTGCCCCTGGGCGAGACCCGCGGCGAAAGCGTCTCCACACTGCACACATGCGAGGGGCCGCCCTTCTTTAGGCAACTGCGATCCGGACTCTTGGACTTGGCCGGACTGGAGGGTGGCTTGAGGATGCCCGCAGCCGGTCCAGTGGGGTGCTTCAGAATGCCACCGCCCTCGGAGGAGCGACGCGGGCTGGGTGTCCTTCGGCCGCCCGAGAGGCGATCCTGCGAGGTTTCCCTCGATGAGCACACACTCAGGCGCTTGCCCTGGTCACTCAGACTGGTGCGCGGCGACTTGATCTTGATGATCCGCACCGGAGAGCTGCCCTGCGACTTGCAGCGATCCGGGGAGATGTATATCTGCCGGCGGCCTCCTTTGACCTTGGTGGAAGCCGGTCGCTCCGGGGACTTGGCCTTGAAGATCTTGTCCACCTTCTTGTCGATCACTACGATGTGCGAGGCCAGCGAACTGGTGGTGGCCTCCTCCTCCGTCTCGTCACCCGATCGCTCCGAGGGTCCTGTGGTGTTGCCCGTGCTGTCCGATTCGGTGGCCGGCCTGGAAGGCGACTCGATGTCCACCACCACCGTCTGCTGCGTGTTCTCCACAATGGTCTGCGGCTCCGGCGAGAGACTGGAGTCATTCTGCTGCTGGTCACCCGCCTCCTCGGCCAGATCCTGCGGATCGAAGGCCTTCTCGCGCAGGCTCTCCATGTAGGCCACAATGTCGCAGGTGCCGTCGGCCAGGTTCTCCTGCTCCAGATCGCTCAAATGCTTGTCCATAAACCGGGCCGTGGCGTCCGTTTCGGTCGGGTTTCGGTCACGTTCACGGTCACGTCGCTGTCTATGCCCTGAATCCCTGGCCTGGCCCGTTGGCAACGGATGCTGATGCTGGTGGACGACGGCCACCTGCTGGGAGGCGGCCAGTCGTTCCGCCTCGCTCTCAAAGATCTCGATCACCTCTATATCCTGCTTGGGCGACTGACGCGGCGATTGACGCGGCGACTGGCGCGGTGAGGGATGCAGGGATTGGGACTGGGATTGGGACTGGGATTGGGACTGGGTGTGGGACTGACTCTCTCGGGGATCGGAGGCGAACAAGCTACCACTACTGCCTAGACTTAAGTTAAAGGAGGCCGCCACCTGGACGACATGCGCCTCCGACTCCGACTCGAGCTCCGACTCGTCCGGGCTGGGCTTACCTAGGTCCTTCATCAGCACCGGCTGGTAGCTGGCCGGCGGGTGCGACGACTGTATCAGGCGCGCCTGGCTGCCGGTGCTGCCCACCGAGAGCGTCGATGTGGTGCTGTCGGCATTCGGATTCATACGGATTCACATTCGAACATCGCAGATGTCACGATGCGAATCGAGCGGTAAGAAAGAGGGATAAATTCACAGGGTCAAGCAATAGTCGAGCTTACTTTGAGGTCTCATTAACTTATCTGGTTTATCCACTGACTAACTAGATATGAGACAATGTGAGGGAGTCTGACTAACCATCTGGCTAAACTATGTCAAGATTTATTGACTGTAAAATAAGTGAACTTAAAAAAACCAAAATGTAACCTTTTAAAATGTCAAGCAAGCAAATAGCAAATTTTAAAAATGAATTTAATGACAGTGTAGCATTTGTACACAAAACCTTTAAATTTATTAATTTTAATGTTATTATAAACATTAATTTACAAAGTATGTTGGCTGTTACCAGTTGTCAGTTGATAACAACGATTAAATTATAAAGTATGTTAGTCTAAGCTGAGCGCATTTTCAAAGCTTAAATATGTTTCTTTAAAGAAACAATGAAAATGGCTAATAAAATATAATCAGTCAGATTCTGTTATTTAAGTGGTTTTAAAGCCATTATAGGCAGTTATTAATAATTGTATCAATCCAGTTAGTCAGCACAGTACCAGTTACGAGGGACATGTTAATGGGGGTGGCAGTTTTCGGCACTCACCTCAGCGTCAAGTGATTGGGCGTTCGACCCAGTGTGGCCTTGGGCCTGATTGTGCCCTGCTGCGAGTCCTCCTCGCCCTCCGACTTCGTCCCGGGATCGATCCTCTCGATGTCCGAGCTGTGGTGGTGCAGGTGTGGCTGCCGGATCGGGGGTGGTGGTGGCTCCCGCGGATGTGGATGTGGATGGGGATGGGGATGTGGGTGGGCATGGGCATGTCCTTGCTGTTGCATCTGCAGTTGTTGCTGCTGTTGTTGCTGCTGCTGCTGTTGCTGATTGGGATCTGGGGAAGAGCAGGTGATTTCTTTATGGCACGGCGTGTGATGATGCGGGGTGTGGTGAGGGGCATTGTTAGCAATCATTTCGAAAGGAGAGCGTCGATCGTCGGGACTGGACTTCAGTTCAACTCACCAGCGACATCGCCCACCGTCTTGCTGCGTCCTCGGAAACCGGCTGGCTGCATCTGCTGCACATGGGCGTGGCCGGAGCCGTAGTGGACCACACCCACACTGGGCGGCAGGTCGTCCGCCTCCTGGCTGCCCGACAAATTGTCGTAGTCAATGTTGCCAGCAGAGTGGCGCTGCGATCCGGACTTCTTCTTCGGTTTTCCCAGAGTGTGCGAGCCATGAACTATGGTGATCTGGGAAGAAGAATTGAACAAAGGCGTTTTGTAATTAATATTTAAAATTAGTATAACATTTTTTACATCTAAGCTCAAATTATAAGATTTCAATTTTTAATTTAAATTATTTACAGAAAATAAAAGCCTCGTTTATAAAAATTATAGTATATTTGTGTTCATCATTAAATATTGTTCAGGTAAGAAAATGTCTACCATCCATTTAAAAACTAAACATAGAAAGTTTAGTTCAGTAGTAAACTATTTTACTCAATTCTATTTTTACCACTTTTTTGTTAGTGTACAATGTGCAAAGAAAATTATATCATAAACATATTATATAGCGCATAGAGTGCTTTTTAGGAGTCTAACAGTTGTAAATTACCTGCTGCTTGGGTCGTTCCAGTGTCTGCGAGTTGCCCGCGTAGCCCATGCTGCCCATACCCTGCGAGGAGTGTCCGGAGACGGAGCCGGAGCTGCCGCCGAAGTTCTTCATCGGAATTGACATGTTCCGGACGCTCTCGCGGATGATCTGGCGAATGGTCTTCAGGAAGGCGTTGCGGAAGTCGGCGGTGCTGTTGGACAGCACGTAGACCTTCTCGGAGCGACGCTGCAGTTGGGAGCGCAGGTGGATGAGCTCCCACAGGAAGTGCGAGTCCATGTCCTTGGCCGAACTGGCACGCACCTGCACCTCGGTTACGGGTATAAGCACCTGGTAGCGAATGATCTCCACCTCGTTGGTCGCATTCTTGCTGGACACGCCCTGTTTATAAGTAGGAGGGCAAAAAAAAATTGTATATATCTCAGAAAACTATAGTGTCAAATGCCTTTCATACCATCAACTTCTTCTTCTGACGCAGCCGCTCCTTGCAGAGGAACACCACTGCCGACTTGAACACAAAGCACATGGCATGCAGCTCCAGTCCCTTCTTGATCTTGCCCAGGAAGTCCGAAATGTTCAGCCATTCCACTCCTCCATAGTACAGGAGATCTCCTGCAAAATCATAAAAAATCATTAATGAAATTCGAAAACTTCACACTTGCCTTTGGTAAACAAAAAATTTATTTTGATTTCATTATTAATAGGAGTTGGATTATATGTAAATCCATATTTTAAATGATTATTGATTTCTATGATAGAAATATTTTGTTTTACTCTGGAGTTAAAGAACTCGGTTCTCTTTTCAAAACATAAATGTCTTTAAATCTTAGACTTTCTCACCTGGACTCAAGTCGATGGGCTGTTTGCAGGACTTCTGATGCTGCCGGAACAGGTGATCGAAAATGGCGCCGTACTCCTCGTGGATGCGCTGCATCTCGTTGATGTGCTCGGCCACCTTCTCCATTCCCTTGAGTGCCTCTGTTGGGGTTCAAATCAAAAATATATAACATAAAGGTTAGCATTGTATATGCATGTGCATGCTGGATGCATTCACATCCACATCCACTATTGTACATACCACAAAGATGGACATGCTCATCGGCCCGGGTGTCGGTTAGATTGCGCATCTGCTGCAGGAGCAATGGGTACTTGAGGATGCGCTGAATGGGCTTGATCAGATACGATTCCAGGGTGCTGCTGTGCTGCTGCTTGGGATTCCGAGCGGCCAGGAACTCCTGCAGGGCGTGATTGCCCTCGTCTGGATGGGGGAAATAGACGGGATGGAGATGAATTGATGGGCGAATGAAATGCAAATGCAAATTGAGACATTTGCCAAATGATTCGATTTCAATGGACGCTTGTTCGAGTCGGTGTAATTAATTGCAACGTTGGCCCATTACAGTAAATGGAGGGGCGAGGCGAGGCAAGGCAAGGCAAGGCACACGGTACACAAGGTACACAAGGATATGCAGTTACAGCGGCTATGGCAGCGTCACAACGTTGACAAGAAAATGTCATTAACTTGTTCTTATTGTCAGCCGTGCAGCTTTTGATAAAGGCAAAGTCAAAGCCTGTCTGCAGCAGGAGAGGCAGCTGCAACTTTAGCCGGAGCAGATTTACGTCTAATAGCGTCTGTCGCTGGCTGCTTGTCCTTCTGCCAGCCCGACAATCTGCCCCCTTGATACCCTACTACTTCTCAATATCCCTCCAATCCGCAACAGGATTCTCCAGCTCTTGCACGTAACGAAGGCACTTAAGTGCACTTCTTGCTATAATTAATTATCCTTTCAACTTTTTGCATAAAATTTCATGCAACAGTCGGGCGAGTGCAGTGGCTCCACCCTCGAGTGGATGATGCTCCCAGGATATCGTCCTATGGTCCTACGGTCCTACCCCCTGCCCAGTTACCTTGACTACGCCTTGGCTCATTGATTGCAAATATTGTGCATACATTTTTTACCTTGCCAACGCTTTTGATTAGCTGCAAATCCCATCCCATCCACGGACGCATCGATCAAAGTGGCATGGTTTCACATTCAGCCACCAGTGCCAGCTGTTTGCTCGAGTGCTTTTAAGCTTAGTCTAAGTCTAATTTAATTATGGAATGTTTGCATGGCGAGTTTAGTGGAAGAACACCCAGCACACCACCAAGCTCCCAACGCCAACATCCTCGCAGAAGTTCCAAAGCCCTGGCATAGTTTTGGGTCGCCATTTGTAAGCGTGTCATAATTCTACAAGTTTAATTAACAAAAGATACTTGACAGTTGCCACTGCTGCTGCTGCTGCTGCTGCCTTGGCATGAATATGAATATGCTCGGAAAAACCCCAGCCATCACACCCTTTTTTCGGTTGGGAGTTTGCCTTCAGTTTGCGGTTTCCACTTGGGAAGGATGTCGTCGACGTCGGCATTTGCGGTTGTAATTATTCATTTAACTTGCAAATCATTTTAAAGTGGGCGCAACGCGGGCCAGGGGCGTGGCACAATTGAAGCGAATAGTTTGCCAATTGTTCACTCTGTGGGTACGCATCGGTTCGGTTGGGTTTGGTTGGGTTTGGTTCGGTTGTTTGACTTTTACAAGTTTCTTGCTCAACTGAAACTCAAATAGACTTTGACGCTTGACGCTGATTGCAATAGTTGGTACTATTCTCAGCAAGGCTATACACACACACACACCCATGTACAGTGCGTTTCGTTGGAGAAACGCACTTTTGGAAATGTTAATGAGGTCTAGGAAAACTTTTGGATAGGTAAGTTTTTGGCAATATTCGAACTTTTTCCATGCATTAGTTAATTTTGTATTTGTACTTAATTTGCATTTAAAAAGTCAATTAACTAATTACTTTTGTTAATAAGGTTTATTTCTTGGATATATAAAGTTTTAAATTGAATTCTTAAAGTTTTCTTGGGCCTTTTGTTATAAGTTTTAATCTGTAACCTACTTTCAATTTTGTATTATGCAAATTCATTTCTTGTAATGTTGTGTTGTTCTAATTTATTTTTTTCAAGATTTCCTTTTATTTTCTGCCTGCCTAGTTATGCCCTTGTATTTTGTCCTCCACTAACCCTCTGATGTATGTAAATTAATTCCTATAATGTACGAATTTGATTTGTCTGGGGGATTGCGGTGGGGATTCTGGTGGGGAGTACTCACTTGGATGCAGGACTTTCTGCGCCTTGCTGTGACTGGCACAGAACGAGGAATACAGCTTGAAGTGGTTGACGTAATAGAGAAAAGCCGAGCCAATCGCAAAGAGCACATTCTGTGAAGCCGGATAAATTCAATTACTAATGCAGAACTAAGATTACCATTTGCAACGCACCCTGAACTGGCCGCAGTGCTCGAACTTGTTGAACTCCGGCTCCAGGTCCAAGGACTCCTCCAGATTCTGCAGGAACTGGCGCTGGAATGTGACGATCTCGTGGATGTTGCCAAATAGAGCGTTGATCTCGGCATTGGAGAGGAATGTCTCGCGTTTCATGGGCTCCAGATAGTGCTCGAGCAGATTGTTCAAGTGCTGCAAGTTAATCGAGAGGCGGATGGTTCAATAAAGCTCAAAATGGGGGAAGTACTTTTTTTTACGGACAGCGCCGAAAATGCATAAATTAAATTAAAATATCAACGACCGCTGCCTTCACCCCCCCGATTTTGGCCACAACAATTCCCGGCGGAGTTGGCCAGCAGTTATGCTTGGTTGGAGGAAACTTTTTAGTTTTGCCAACTGGCACAAAACATGAAACAAAAAAGAGTGGAGAAATACTGTAGCATAGCCACAGGCGTGCGCTTTCATTTGGAACAATACTTCCGGGCAGCGGGGGCGGTGAGCGGTGGCCTGTAGACGGTGGGCGGGGCAGCACGTTGGCCGCGGTCAGCAGATAAGACCCGAAGCTTTCGCCGTTGCCGCAGCGGCGCTTTACATAATTTCTAAATTATAATAATTATTTGTATGCTTCCTGGCCCAGACCAACGAAAAACCAGACTTGAAGCTGGCTTAAAGCAAACACTGGCAAGGAGAATCGGTGGAAGCAGCAAACAGAACGAGAATCCCAAACAGAAGCAAAGCGACTCAGTTAAAGGATTAAAATTTGCATTTTTAATTGCAGGCGCTCTTTCTGCCGCCACCCCACTCTAATGAACACAAGTCAGTGGTCGATGCTGGGATTTCCATTTAAGTTGGTGCTGGGCACACTGATCGAAAGAAAGGATATTATGAATGCTGGCCGCACTGGCCGAGTAAGGAAAGTTAATTATAAGTCGTTATAAAAAGTCGAATAAAAAGTGCGTAAAAGTCCCTAATGAAATGGTAATTGGTATTTGGTAATTGTGCATTTGACATTTATTTGCTTGCATTGTGAAAAATAATCCAAATATTGATAATTTTTCTTTCTTTAAACATAGTTAACTTTTTAAATAGTATAGTATTAGGGACATAATTTTGATTTTAATTTTAGTAAATTTGGTAAGTTTGTAAATGGTAGGTTTGCCTTATAAAATTGGATAACTAAATAAGGATATTAAAGTTTAAGTAGCACCTTTGTTTCTCATAAATTTAGTTATTAAACATCTCTAAAGGAGCTTTATATTTAATTATGTATTAAATTTATATTTGTAAGCCAAAGGTTTCATGTGGCACTCTCAATTACAAGCACATTTTTTTTCACTGCATAGTAGTAGACTCACCTTCACATAGGTGCGTTCCGTGTCCACCAGCTCCATGACGACTTTGCGCAGCTTCTCCGCATCGGTCAGTTGGCGCGATGGGGTTAATGCCGTGGTCGACACCGACGAGGTGACCGAGCCGGTGGGGCTCGATTTGCGTGTTTCCTGGGGTGAACGACAAAATCCGGTAACCTTAACACGGTTCACAGGTCAGGTTCAAGTTGTTGTTGTTGTTGTTGTTGTTTCAGGTTGTTTCAGTGGTGTCGTGTGGTTGTTGTTATTATTGTTGTTATTATTGTTGTTGTTGTTGTTGTTGTGTTGTGTTGATTGTTGCATGATGAGGAGTTGTTTTCGTGGAACGAAAAGGAACAAACCCAAAGAAAGAACAGAACGAAAAGAGATGCGAGCGCGTGAAAAGGAGACACCAAATAAATGACAATAAACAAAAATGAAGTTAGCCGTGTGACAGAGATAGATAAGAACAGCGATAGTTTATAACACCAGGGGAGGGGTAAAGGGGTTAAGGGGGTATGCCAAATGGGTGGGGTATTCAAATGGGTTGGATGGGTTTTTAAGGCGTGGCCAAGAGCCCGCGGCCACTTTAAGGAGACACGGAGACAGCTGCGGTTCTAAATGACTGTCACGTCCTTGTCCAAGTTGTTGGTGTTGTCCTTTGTCCTCGGAGGGTGTTGGTGTTGGTGTTAGTGCTAGTGCTGGTAATGGTGTGGCGGCCAAAGTGTTTGTGGGTCTCAATCTCAAAACCCCCCTCTCCACAGTCGACCCCCGTCCATGGAAAGTAACAACCTTTGCCTGCTCTTTGTGTGTGTGCGGTTACAAGCACATTTGGCACTGACAGTTGACGCTTGACGGTTGACATACACAATATACATACGGACATGTCGGTGCCCCATCGTATAAGCCATGTAACCTCGACTCCCCCTTCCCTCTTCCCCCTTCTCCCCATCCCCTCCACCCACTACTTTTGCATTAAGACTTAGTGGCGGCAGAGACTTTCGCCTCGAGTCTTCTTCGTGGCTCTTTCTCTTGACTTTTCTCCTGTTTGCCTAACTCTTCTGCCTCGTCTACTTGTCTATTTGCCACAGAACACAAAGCCAAAAAAAAAAACCAACACGAAAACACTGGGAAAAAGTGTTAAATGGAGCATTCCTGATAAATTGACTTAACAAAAGGAATGGCAAATGAATTTGCATTGTAAATGCCTAAACAAACAGAACTCAAACCTCAAAAAAGGTCTTGAACTTGCAGGAAAATGGGGAGTGGAATGCTTTAGAATTCCACAATTTACTTGGATTTTAATAAAATCTGGTTAAGATAAAATATATTCCTGAATATTTGGGTACATTTCTAATAGACACTATTTTAGGTAGAAATTCTGGAATTATTTCGAATATGGACAGTATAGTTCATTACAATAATATCTTAAAAGTTTTTGAACGAATAGTCATTGATACTGTCATTTAAAAAATCTGTAAATATAGTTAGTTGAAATTTTCTATCTTCTTTTTATCCTACTAAAGCTTATTTGATAAATTACGAAATTTTGAAACTATTATGTGGATATTTATGTATGTTAATCGGTGTAGTTGCCAATCTCATTTTATCCAGCTCGGAAACCCATTTGTCACGCTGCCATCGCTAGGCAGTATATTCTTCTCTTTCATGTGCCCCAAGTCCCCTCTCTTTCTTCCCTCTTCTACTGCAATTGCAGTTGTCATTGTTTGGCGCTGTTGTTGCCCGGCATTGTGGAGACATTTCACTTTTATGCAGTTGCACTTTGTGTATTGTTAGTGCCCTCTCTTTCTTCTTGGCTATACCCCTCCCGCTCTCTGGGCTGTTGCAGCTTGTTCTTGTCTACTTTTAACTGTTTTATTGTTCTGCATTCTGGGGCTGAGCTGAGCTGCGCTTCTGATTTGCATAAGCGACGCCGACCCAAAAGCCAAAACAGCAGACAGGGGTTGAAAAAAAGGGAGGAGGCGTGTTTGGGGGCTTGCCAGGTGAGACAGGTGCAACAACAGTGGCAACATCTGCGGCAGCTGCAGCAACGGCAGCTTCTGGTTTCTGGCTTTTGGCGCTGAGTGCCCACATTGTTGCCGCCGGGCTGGCCCAAAGATGAAAAATTTGAAAATGTCTTGAATTTTGCACCCTGCCTCTTCGCTCCGACCTGTGTGAAATGTCAACTTGAATTAAAAGGATTCCTTATATAACACAACACCCACAGTCCCTCGCCCTCCAGGTCGCCTCAGTGTGTTTGTGTGTCACAGTGTTCAAGTATCATTAAATGAAGTGGGTTTCTGCCAGTTTCGAGCACACTTGGGGAAAGCATATCCAGAAAACAAAGTGCATTCTGTGGCATCTTTGCTTGTTGTTCTATCTGTCCCGTCACCCCATCTTTCTCAACCCATCTGTACACTGAGGAAAAAATTAACTTGACTTGGGAATGTTTCGTATCTTAAGTTTGCATCCTAAAACAACATTGCTTTCATTAGATCATTTTAAACTCTAAAAATGTCATTATTAAAAAATGTAATAACAAGTTAATATTTAAGATTAGGGCATCTGATAAAAAAATTATAAATTATTAATTGGAAAATGGATAGTTCCTTGAATTTATAAATATTAACATTTTAAAAATTTGGCTTGAAAATATGTTGAAATGGGACAATTATTTTTATTTTGAGTATTATTTTTATGTATTAGAAAAGCTTAAGTCAAACCTTTTAAATTCAACATAAAACTTAGCGGTTGATTAAAGTTTTATTTAAAATTCAACTTCTTGTTATTAAAAACCTTTTGCTTAATAACTCTGAAACATTTTCATTCGCGTTGCAATTAAATAGAGTTCCCAAAACTTGCGAGGTTGCAAACTAAGAATTAAATTTTTTTGAATACCAAGAACATTTGTTCTTGAGTACTTTTTCTCTCTGTTGGCATATCTGTTGTCCTGTATATATATATAGATATCCTTGATATTTTTATGCCAGCCACATTGCTATCCGTGACGTTTATTGTTTGCTGGCTGAAGAAGTAGGAAGAGGCCTTCTCTTGGCGGCAGCGGCGACCCAATAGGCCAAATTTGCCATGACATCTTGAGATGTGTCGAGACACGCCTTGGGGCATAGAGCTCTCAGAGATCTTGCTTCCTGCTACGAGTATCCCAGTTGCCACATCTTTTTGTGCAAATTTCAATTTGTGCACATTTCAATCACAAGTGCTCATTGGGGAGTGGAGGAAGTCGGCCTTCCGAAAACCACACCACCCAACACCCACAACCTACAACCTACAACCTACAACCCATTCCCGTTCCCATTCCCATTCTCATTCCCATTTCTTCCCACCCATCGACCGTCGTGTTTGGCGCTCGTTTTAATAGTTTCCGTTTCCGCTTTGCGAGTTCAAAGCAATTTGATTTGCCTTCCAAGTGGCAGGTTCCTGTGGGACGGGGGGTAAATGCGGAAAGGGGTGGGATTGGGGGGCGGTGCTGGGGTCATGGGGGGCGGTCGATAGAGTTGTGTTTGCGTTTGGTTACCCCACTCCCAGTTTCCAGTTTACAGTTTACCCCATTCTTATTCCCCTCGCCCCGATTTTCGGGCACTGCACTTACTTGCTCTGCGGTCTTAAGCAGATTCTCAATCTCAAAACTGCTCGTACGCGATGTGGGCTTGGCCACGCCCAGTCCGCCAACGACCACGCCCCCGCCCAGCGCCAACTGGGCGGCCATTGCGGCCGGATCCACAAAGGAGGTGGCCGGCGAGCTTTCCGCCTCCGGCGAGTACAAATCCTTGCTAGTGCCATCTGGAAATTGGAGGGGAGATAAGCGAATGTTGTGATTAAGTATTATTATTATTACTACTTTTATTATTATTAGTTTTGGCCTGCCTCGTAATTAGTTGTGTGTGGCAGGCGCTCGGAGAATATCGATTAAATGCTCGTTTTTTTTCGGTTATTTGTTGCTTGTTAATTTTAAATTCCATGTTTGTGCAGTAAAAAGCGAGCGAAGGAATTTTAATACTTGCAAAAATGGCACGCCCTCCTTTCACTTTTACTCCCCATTTTGCTGCCCTGCCTCAAAGCCGAAAGTAATAACGACAAAAAACAGCCAGCAGCAACAACAAGCAGTAATGATTATTGCTGCAATGTGTTTGCCACAACGTCCACACGCTCAGGACGAAAAAGAGCGAAGGATACAGGCGGCGAGAAGGAAAGGCACGCTCTTAACCAAAAGAAATTTATGGCCCATACATATGAGGCCAACTCGCAGACAAGCTCCCTTGCACTTCCCAAAAAAGATACCGCAACTATTTTGGCAATTTTTGATCTTAGAAACAAAGCAATTTCCTCAAAGAAACTAGCACAGAGTTATCCAAACTGCAGATGCTATATTGTTTTGAAAAGCAAAAAGTTACAGAAACTTTTAGATATTAAGTTGGCTAACAATAAGTTGCAAAAACAGAGTACCCAATCTAAAGATTTAAAAAACCGAGTACCTAAATTAACATTCTGAAAAGTTTTCGGGGTGAGTACGTGGGAGCAAAATTTTAAAAGTTCAAAAGTGTAATATTCAACACTTATTTCGGCTTACGATAATAAAACAATTGAAAATAAATGGCCCCATATGGTTTTCAGTTGCGTTTATATTTGCATCAAGCTTTAAATCAGAAACTAGATATTCCAACAAGTCAAAATGAGTTTTCAGTGTATTTTGGTATATATTTCTAAGCACGTGTGTCTTTTTGTGGCCTGTAGTAGAAGTAGTTTTGCCAGCACCCAGGAATCATTTAAAAATCATGTCCTTCAAGAACGCCTTGGAGTCCTGGTGTCTCGAGTCTTCTGTTCCCCAACTGCTAGTGTCTTGTGTTTTCTTGGTCCCTCTGCATGCAAATTTGCTGGCAACAAATTTTATGAACATTTTCCCTAAAATTTGACACCACTCCACACCACACACACACTGTGCGTTTAGTTATTGGAAATTGCCGTCTTATAAATTTCAGTTTGCGGTCTCCTTTTGCAAATTGCACGTAGTCCTGGTCCTAGGGCTTTCCCAAAGTCCTGCCAGAAGCCTGAGCTAATAACTCGTGGACGTGCCAAGCCAAATTCGTCGATGGCAAACAACTTGGGCAGTTTTAGTGGCTTTAAATAAAGTAAGACTTGCAGTTGTTTATGGCAGGAAGATACGCTCGAGGAGCTCTCAACTTGGGCCACTTTTTCGTTCATGTTTTTCTGCCAGGATACTAAACAACTTGGCACAAGTCCTGCACAGTTTCTTGGGGGTTAATGATCCCATGATTGTTTTCCAAGTTTGCGGAATAATCCGACTCTTTTCTCGTTGGCTTAACTTGGTTGGCTTAACTTTCGCGAATGCATTTCCGTAATTTAATACCACTAATTGGCAAGATAGCAGGTAAAAGGTATCAATAAACTATTTTTTTGCTGGCAAAAATTTAATTGAAAATTGGTGGCTTTCACCAGGGGAACAAAATCCCTGTAATCAGTAACTCTGCTTTTGTATGCTTTTATTGTCCCTTTAACTATCCTTCTTTTCTGGCCAACTTTTTGAGCCGCCAGGATGTGTGTCAAAAAAAAAAAGTTGAAATAAATATTAATACGCACACACACACACGGCTACCACATTTGCGTGCATATATAGAGAGTCGTTTAATTTCTGCTACAATTTTTGTTTTGTTGTTATATTTTTTATTTTAATTCTTTTTTAGTGTTCGTTCTGTGCCTTTTAATTGTTTGCCGCAACAAAAAAGTTTCATTTTGTGTGCTGTTGTTGCCGCTGTTGTTGTTGTTGTTGTTTGCCGCTGCTGCGTTTGTTGGCTTTAATTGTTTTGTGTTCTTAGCCACTTCGGCTTTTTGAGTGCAGTGCAGCGTGTGTGTGTAGTGTATGTGTGTGTGTACGCGCTCATATGTATGCTGCAGTTTGTAATCCTGTGATTATGTAGTTGGTTGTTGCGAAACGACACACACCCACAATCGTCTCTCTTTTTCTCTCCCTACTTATTGATGTAATTGTTGTTGTACATGTTGTACACCCACACACACTCAGTGCTTCTCTTTCGCACCCTCCGTATTGCCATCTCTTTCGCTGGCCGTTGTCTAGAGCCAGCATTTAATGCAAAAAAAAAAGGAGGGGGAAAAAAATATAAATTACTTTAATGAACTTTACAAATTCGCATGCATGCCCGGAAATGCGCTTTTTCGTTTCCTGCCGCACACACACACACACACATTCTCCCATTCGCATTCTGGGTTAAAGGATTAAGGGAGAGGGAAGCGGAGGTATGGGGACGCACCTCAACGTTAAGGCTCGTGGAACCGGACCCCAAGCCATACACGGATACGGACACGGAACCGTAACCATAGCCGTGATTAGTATGCTTTTGTTGTGCGAGTGGCTGATGAATGCTGCCTGTGGTTATCCCCCCTCCCCGCTCCCGTTCTTTTCACTCCAGCTTAAATGTTTAAAAACTGCCGAATTTCCACACACAACAATTTCGAGGTTACCCCGTGGGGAGAATTGTTTCGGTTTTGCATTTGGATGCATTTGGGTGCATTTGGGCAGGCGGTACTTACTCCAACCCGGGGCCGGAACAATCAGTCCAGTTATCATCTCCTCGCTCATCACCGGCGGATCTGTGGGCGGCGGCGGGCACACCAGTGAATCAATCATATCGTCCGTGACCCTCATGATCCCCACAAGATCTGGTGGCTCCGTACGGGAAGACCTGCAGAATGATAAAGAAAAGGGGATTCAAAAAAGAGATTATATATATTAGAATAATTTCCATTTCTAACCCTCTTGTCAAAGTGAAAATTTAAATGCTGAGCACAACACTTGTACGTATATGGATGAAATCAATACTAATTAAGATGCAAATTATCTGGTTTTTATTAACACATAGAGGTAAAAAGAAAAAAAAATGGGTTTAACTTGCAGCTGTAAATTTGATTTTTTTAATAAAAATCATTATTCGTTCGATTGAAGTCAATTTTATTTTACCAATGATAGAAAGAAACAAAAAACTGTTAGATTATAAAAATATACATACAACCTGTCATAAGTTGTGAAGTTCATATTGGAATGCTCTGATTGCTTTTATTAAAAAACAGATTTAATGGCATACAAAAAGCTTTGAGTTGTGGTAAATGTGTTTTAGTTTGTTTAATACCAAGACTATTTTTATTTTGCGTAAATGATGTGTAAGTAACTTTAAATTTTTTGTTATTTAAAAACTGTCGGAAACTTAAAACGAATTATTTAAATAAATTTTGTGCCGTGTAGTATTTGCATAATTTCCGTTTCTGACCCTCCTGACAAATCCAAACAAGTGAACGTATAGCGACACCTGGAATGGATTCCGGACTACCGACTGCGGACTGCCGTGACCTTTTTCTGTGTCAGTGCGCGAAATTAGCAAAAGATGCGGAAAATGCTCCCAATGTGCATAATTTGAATGGACGGACGACTGGCAGGGGAGGAGGTCAGGGGTCATTTGGCTCTACAAACGCTTAGCACAAAAGCTTTTCTGTTTTCGTTTGCCATAAAGAGAAGCTAATTAGGCTATCAAAATGCCGTTCGGCTCGGCCGAAAGGTGATGCAAGTGGGGGGTAGGAAAATTCGGGGGTTGGAAAGTGGGGGACAGGGGGCTGGATGGTCAGCGAAACGGAACCAAGGGAACCAACCCACCGACCACGTTCTAACTGCATGGCAAGCGAGAGAACGTGAAGTGGCAACGTGTTTGGGTTACGGCTTGTCTACCCATTTTGCCCGGTTTTCCAAACGTTTTCCTTTTCCCCAACCTCGAACCGCCACTCGACCAACCCCGCCACGCTCCGCACACATTTTCCAGCTGCGGCTTGAACTTGTTGTTGACTTTGCTGAAAAACTATAAACCGAAAATGGTTCGAGAATGTACATGGAACATTTTTCGGTTCAAACATCTATTTTTTTCGCCCATCGACTTGCTTTTTTGGTCTTTTTTCCGATTTGTTGCGAAACAATTTCTGCCACTGGGTTAGTTACCATTTTTTCGAGTGGGAAACTTCTTATGGTGTAACATCATCAAAAATTGGCAAAGCTTGTCGATTGTTGACATTCTGGGGTGTGTGAACTTGATGTGGCTTGTGGCCAGTTGGTCGAGTGATGCCAAGAGTTAGAAAGCTTGCACAGAATGTTTTTAATTAACAACATCAGCAGCTGCAGGTTGCGGTTTTATGGATTTTTTTAAAGCTTGCCATGGCCAATAATAAGGATTGTGGAAGGAAAACCGATAAAATCTGTCAGTCAGTCGGGTTTTCCTTCAACTTTATGAGCCATATAACAGGGAAATGGACACAAATTTCCACACAATGGTAGAACAATGGGCTGGATATTGCATTACGCTGTCACGAGTTGCCCTAAAGCTAATTGACAGCATTGCTGGCCGCAGTGACTAAAATAGTTAATTAATCCGTGTAACTGAAATTTAAACAATGGCCATATGCGCCCACATGGGGCGCGGCCACACGGCGTATACTTTATCGCCGGCCATTCAAGTCGGAACATCGAAACAGATGTTAAGCAGGGCGTAAACAAGAACAATGCTGGTCTGTGGCTGTCATAACTTACCGCATCATCATGCTGAGCGATTGTTCCTCCTGCAGGACGCTCTCCAAGTACATCATATCTAGATCGGACACAATTGCGCCATTGATGACCATTATTTCGTCTCCTTTGATAATGCCTGCAATTGGTTGTACAGCGTTAGTTATAGATACATACTTTATATATTGTTGCATATAGGTTGAGTTTCTGCCACGGTCATTGTTACTTTTCAGTCCCATTCCCCATTCCCCATTCCCCATTCCCCATTCCCCGTTCCCATTCCCTGTAGCTTAGACAATGGGTTCTGCTCCGTTCGGGGCGGGATCTAATGCTGCCTGCCGAGCAATCAAGGTGGTTCTATGGGGCTGGAATCAATGTCTGACAATTGTGCGGCTGCTGTGCACCACTGACATCTTTTATGTAACAAGCGATAAGCGGTATGTCTTCGGCTGATACTACTGCTACTGCTGCTGCTACTTCTGCTGTTGCTATTGCAGTTTCCATGCTCGTAAAACAATAACAACAAGAGCATTGTGGTTTTTGCATTGTTCATACGCCACGTTATCCCAGCGCCATCTATGCACTGATCGAAAAAACGAGATTCAAGGTGTAAGATAGAATTGCTTTTGAATTATTTTCATATTGTAACCTATTTCCTTCACTGATTAAGAACAGAATAGCAGGTGTTTCCTGATCAAGAAGCTAAGGCTTCCAGTTTAAAAAGTAGCTTGATTTTATGTTATTTGTTAAATAATTTGTGTAAGCTTGGCAAAACCAAGCTGGCAAACAAGTATTACAAATTATAACATAAGGGGACGCCACAGAAATCAAGTGGTCAAGAAGTACGCAACAATATGTTTTTGTTTGAATGTCTTACAAAAGATTTACATCTTTCTATTTGCACTGCATACTCTTGAAACCTTCATAAGTGACTTTAAAATCGTAGTCATTTCTGTTTAGCTAAAGGCAAATTCAACACAGACGGAAGTATTTACTTCTCGACGGACTTGAGTCATATTTTGATAAAATTTACTCAATTTAAGATTATGTTTTTCTCAGTGATTCCCTGCACGGCGTTCGTTAGCATTTTCTACTTTGTCTGCATGACTCGTCTATCATGTGTGTGTGTCTTCTACTCGCTGGCTGAGTTTTCTACAGCATTTATTCTATTCCTTGTTGCCTGCTTCGACCTGTCTTACCCCGGTCACTCCCACTCCCATTCCGCCCATCTTTTCTTCCTGTTGACGACATGCATTCAGTTGCCTGCAGTTGCAAGTTGCCAGTGTCGCTTATCATTGTTGGTGCAGCAGCAGCAACATTTTCTTAAGGCAAAGTTCGATAGACAGATATATGTCCGGAGCCCGCCTTGTGGCAATATTTTACCTGTGTTACACCTTCGTTTGGATTCTTTTTCGGAATGGAAGGGGAGTGGGTTGGTGTGTTCAGCCCCTGCATTTGTTACAATTTAAACGGATTTTTACATCTTAATGCTGGCAAGGCATGACACATGCGATTTAGCATATGAAATGCACAAATATATTCATGTATAGTATGCAAGTGTCGTGCTGTACTTTATCCGGATGATTATTTCTGGCTCTGGGAAAAGACAAATTTTATTTATATTGCGGTGGCTGCGATGTCTCATCCCCTTATCCCTTTAGCCCCTTTTTATTCCTATTTGGCCTGGCATATGCGTTGTCAACACGTTCGCTTTGCTGTTTTCCAGTTGGCCTGGCCCAAAAGAAGTCAGAGCAAATTGTTATTCCATGTTTGCCAAATGCTTTGCCACGCTTGTTCCAGCGCTAAAGTTGCGCCACTCAAAAAGAGCCGAACTTTGTGCACTTGCAGCCACCCAAGTAGGGAATAAGTTGCTGTTAAAAAAAACTCGTGGATGGAAGAGAAGCGAAGACTTTAAGACTTGTGCTTGAAGAAGCCAGAAGCCCAGAGTTTTCCCTAAGTTTTCCGCCAGCGTCTTCATCAGGGCCACCGCATTTCCTCGCAGTTCGTTACCATTTCACAATTAGCCAAGCCAAAGTGGCTAGAATTTTCCGCTCCCCAGCCACATTTGCATTTGAAAGCTGCGGTCAGGATTTGTTTTGGTTTTTGTTTTTGTAATCCATCGGGGCAAACTTTTGTGCAATTCCGTCGTAGATGTTGTCTTCCAGCCTGTCCGAGCTTTGTTTTGCGGTTGCTGCTTAAGAGTTGCGTCTTTCGACATGCTAATAGCCATTATATTCAATTGTGCCTGGGCACTTCCCCGCCAGCTCGCCCTTCAATCATCTCTGGTTAGTGGCCAAAAATGGGGAGGAGGTGGTGTTGGCGAACCGGGGGCACAAAGTTTCCTATTGCGTTCTGCGTTTTGCAAATGTAAATGCGAGTCCTGAGTCCTGAGTCCTTAATTTATGCATACACACGCCACTACAATGAGTGGGGGATATTCTCGCAGAGAGCCGGCCAGATAACGCTAACGGTAGAGGGCTTAAAGCCGCACTTAAAGCTCAAAACATTGTATACGCAATATTTGATGGCAAATGCTGCCAAAGCCAGGCAATCAGCATAGATATGGTGAGGCATTGATACTGGGGAATCAGAGTCAATAAGACCTTTATCCATGTCTATTGGAAATATTTTGTATATACCAAACTATGCAAATGCTACTGAGTGAATTGATATGGCGAGTTCATAGACAAATGGCTTCTTATTTAGTAATATGTAATTTTTTTTTAACTATCTAACTATCTATCTATCAAACTCACAACTAAAATAGCAACTCACTTCTTTCTTAAGAAAATATAAATTTACAGAAAGTTTAACACTTTAACCTTTATAAAATACACTTTTAACATAAATATTATTTGAATTGTAATTTTGCGGTTAATTCTTCGAAGTTTGGTGACGTCTTTAATTTACAAAGCTTGCAAACAAGTCACACGTTCAACTCGTCGTATACGCAATATTTTATAGTAATTGCGTTAAGGAAAAGTTTGCTAATTGACTTTCCAACCCAAGCTGATGCAAAAAGATCAATGTTATAACTGCTTTAGTGTCAATTCGCGGTAATTTAATTAAGCTAAGGCTTCCTGCATTTCCCAGCCAGCGAATGCAACATTTGCTCAGTCGTAAAACTCATTAGCACAACTCATTCACTCTACTACTTTTTCCTTGCATTCTTGCTGGCAGTCCAACTTTTTGCCTCCTGCGGTTGGGCTTCTTTTTTTTTTGTTTTTATCACCGGTGCACTCCTTCCGGAGAATTTCGTGCGCATTGTTTCATGGATTTTTGATTCGTTGTCGCCTTCAAAACCAACCAAATGAGCGCCACTCGCACTCGACGTGCTTAATGAGTTTTCTGTCGTTACTGCAGCATGAAATGTTCTTTCGGTTCATCACTTTGCCAAGTGCAGCACTGCAGTTTTTCCACCTGAAGGAGAAATGGGTATGACAAGGGGTAGCTGCTGCTGCTGCTGCCTGTCAGTTCCATAATTTAAGGCGCTGTTCTAGTGGCATTTCGACTACATCTACTTGACTCCATGGCGATGTTGTCGTCGTAGCCGGCAAATGCAAATGCCAACTTAAGTTGATTTTAAGTGATAGAAAAACAACAGAGCGGCGGCGGGCGGGTGGGTAAGAGGAGCTGAGACGGACGGCTCACTCTCGAGGCGAACCCCTTTAAGGACCTGGAAGCCGCCATCGCCGCAGCCGAAGTAAGCCGTCGCCCACACCTGGCAAACATTTCGAGTGCGCTGCTCATCACCATCATCGTCATGCTCATCCTCATCCACATTGTGGCGCCCACCTGCAAGCCACACATTTCGCAAGGCGAACAAGCGCTGACAGTTGACTTTTCGCATTGCACGCCCCGAGGATCTCCTCCTGCCCCTCACCCTCATCCACCTCCTCCTCCATCTCCATTCGGGCTCAAACTCCACTTGACTCGACTCGGTCTCCCTTGTAGACCAAAGTGAGTTTGCTCAAGTTTCGTCTTGTGCTCTCCACTTTTTTTTTGACATAAAAGTGAAAAGCATTTAAATATAAAAGCAGCATACAACTACAGAAAAGAGCAGGCGGAAAAGCAGGGGGGAGGCTACCTGGGCACTTTATAATTTTCTGGGGAAACATTGGGCCACATTGTTTCGCTCAGGGCGCCAGGTGAATAAAGCGGAGTGGGATTGGAAGTGGACGTGCAAGTGGAAGTGGAAGTGGAGTCTCCTTGGGGATCCGAAGACAAAGACTCTATTTCATTTCCTTGCGTTCCGCTGCGTCACCTCAATGGCATAAATTAAATGCACGATTTCATCGCCTGAATGCGATTTGTGTCAAAACCCATTTTCGTCCTGTCATCTCCTGGATGGACTCAAAGGCGAAGTCGTCCTTTGTACTCACCATTGTGCATGGCCACACTCTTGTCCTCCACGCGACTCACGTAGCAGCAGAGCTCGTCCTGGCGCTCGGCGTTCTCGATCAGCTCCGCCTCCACGGAGAAGCCCCACATCTGCTCGAGGGTGGTGCGCTGCAGCTCCACCTGGTACAGGATCTTCATGCAGACCTCCACGAACTCGTGATTATGTAGCTGTGGAGAAGGAAATTTACAAAGATTATTACTCATCAGTCGTACTAAGGCTTTATCTTGAATTTATAACTTAACAAGTACATAGTTCTCCAAAGTGGCATGTCTTTTGTTTTCTCTATTACGTTTTGATGTTTATTACATATTTGTTTAATCATTTTACTTTTATGAAAAAAATCTTAATATAAAAGTCCCAAATAACATACATTTTCGTTTCCTGCTTACTACTCTGATTTCATGGAATCTTGTTCAACAAAATGTTTTATTTTGTTAGAGCAAATTTTCGTTGTAAATCAAATATAATAGAAGAAATTGAATAGCTAATAAGGCTAGTATATGAATCTTAATTAAAGATATAGTTTTACAAATAAATATTTTTCGAATTTGTTTTAACTAGGTGAGCTCCAGAAATTAAATTAAAAAGTAACACAAATTTATGATCCATTTTTGGCAACGCGTTCTGAGGGAAAGTGAGTTTGAGTGCGCGAGCTAAGTGCCAAATTAGCCGAGTTACGCAAGCAATCATGGAGGCAGGGGCAGCCATTGATTGAGTGGAGTTACAGCAAGTTGCTCAAGTTGTTGTCGAAATTTATTGAACTGCCACCGGCGAACGAAACTTTTTATCAAGCCCACAGAAACTGCCACTGCCACCATTCCCCATTCCGACTCTATTTGCAGCTGCAGTTGCACATTTTTGCCATTTGCCAATTGGCCTAGCCAATATTTACTAGCTTGTTGTTGAGGTCGGAGTTCGGAATGCTAGGCGTTCGGGTGCCGGAGGTCAGAAAGTTTTCAACTAGCGGCTGACTTGGCAGCTGGCTAAAGTCTCACCTAGACTAATAGTGTGCCAACTGAAGGGGAAACGGGAAATGGCCAACGGGAAAGTTCATAATTTATGGCATTATGTTTCTGGAAATCGAAGAGTAATCGGCAGACCGGGTGTGGAGATGAGCTAATTGCGGAATTTCGTATTTTGTTGCAAGCCAAGCTCCTGCCCGTTTTATAGACAAAAGAGAACTGTTGGAAAATCTTCACCATTACTAGTTTTGGTGTGAAAATTATTAAAAGAACTTTGGAAAAAGTTCTTCCTTTGTTAATGAAATCTGAGCAGTGCAAACAAAATGTAAATCCGATGGATAATAAACTTAAAAAGTGTTTGAATGTACAGAGTCCATTAAACCTGATAGCTTTTGTAATAAAGTAACTGTTATTAAAATAATTATTTAAACGACTCGCATTTCCGACAAGAACATTTTGGGCATATTAAATTTTAACGATGTGTAATTGTAAATTTACAGTATGTGTTACATTTCTGCGATTCCTCATAAATTCCAAGAGCTACCTTTATGCTTTTATGTTTTAATTAAGTCTTTTGCAGGAATTTCGGTGCACATCCATTTAAATTGACGTCTTTCAGAGACACCACCCATTAAATATATCTGTTTGGATATTTCAACCTAGCCACGATTCCAAATTCCAATTCCAATTTAAATTCAATAAGTTGAATTGCAATTAGAGTTGGCGGGGCCCAACCCTCAAGTAATTATGTTAGCAGACTGGCTTTGATTATGCACTTACATAATTTTCAATCAGATCGTTGCGATGCGGCACAAAGTAATTGTGATCCTCCATGTCACGTCGCTTCTTGACGCGCACAAAGTGCTCCATGGGATTGAGGTTGCGACGGGCGCAGGCGCTGGCGAGGAATTCCTCCACAGACATGGCATCACGTAGATAAACCGTCGAGTAAGCATTGTCGGGCATTGCAACTTTGAAAGTTTTTTCCGGTTCGTCACGTGAATTCATCTGGAAAAAGGCAGAAAATTCGATTGGATAAACAGGCACACGGACACACACGTACAATGTCATTAAGCAGTCAGGCACAGACATTTGCGAGGCCCACATATACATATACATCTACAACTGCAGATAAAGATACAGATACACACCCTACAACCCACACACAACCTACAGCCATACCCGTGCAGCCATTCTCGGATATGGCCACACGGAAGTGAAAATTGAAAAATAGCAAACACACACATTTGTACCCGCAGCCATAGCCCCTCGACCCCCTGAAATGTAATGAAAAATGTCGCCAGCAGCAGTTTGGGCATCACTGGAAGCTACACTGAAAAAAACGGATAATGGCATCAAAATCTAACCTATATAGTGTTAAAAGTGCAGATTTTGGCTTAAAATCAAGCCAAAGAGTTGCGATCTTTAAATATAAAACCTTTGACAAAGATCATTTTTAAAACAAACATGTTTTATTGGAGTCAATGTCTTAAAATTTGGAAGCGCAAAGCAACAAAACTAGAAAAGCGCAACATTAATATGTTTATATGTTCTTATTGACATTTCGTCAAGTTGGAGAACATTTTAATGCAAGCCAGTATGCTTACTTTTAAAACAATAATAAGCTTTAACTTTTTGTTTTTAAATACGCTAACAAAAATCGAGAAATTATAATTTTGTATCCTCTTATAAGCCAATTATTTATCAAGAATTTCTGTAAAAATGTATTTTTTCTCGGTGCAGGAGCAGGAGCAGGACCAATCGCGGATCCGGCCCTGCAGCAGGATCTGCTGCCGCTTTGAGTTGAGTTTGAAGAAAACTCAGTTAAAATGCTTAACCGTTTCCACAACGTCATTCTCGTCCAATGTTAACGCCGTGATGGGGCTTCCTGCTGCTGCTGCTGCTGCTGCTCGTCCTTTTCGTCCTGCAGGTACTTGTACTCCTTCCCAACTGCAACTGTAAACGAATCAGGTGGCCCAGCTGCCAGTTGTCGGCTTCTGGAAATTGCATTTGTATTGGCAGCCATTGGCAATGGGTTCGTTGGAGTTGGCAGCAGCAGTTTTCCACTGCAGCTGGTCCTGGCCAGGTAATACACCCACACACACGCAGGACAATTGAATTAGTTTGGCAGTTGGCAAGGCCTGATGCTGTTCTTCACTCGCAGCCAGCTTCGAGAATTGACGGAGCCAACGTTTGCATTTGCATTTGCATTGCATAACGATTTTGCATATCGATTACGGGATCATTATGACTGGCCAAATATATCAACTTTATATTCATGGAAAAATGTGAAGCATCAAAGCTGTGAAATGGATCTCGAAATTGGTGTGTATCAAAAATGTTATTGCAAAAAGAAAACTAATTTTGATTGAGGGTGGGACCCTCGTTCAAAAATATAAAGCCAACTTTAGCTTTTATACCAAATTAAAATGGTACTTTCAATTAATACTGGCTTTAATGTGAATGTTTTGAAATCAAAAATTTGTGATGATGGCTTTTCTGGTCATAAATGTAATGATATAATGTTCCATTGATACAAAAGTTAAACGCTATTTGATTTTAATACTGGCTTATAGTATAATGAAACCTTTAATTTTTAATTTTTTTGTGTGCGTAAATCAAATAAATGCTATTGGCACAAAAGTGGTAGACTACGCATAAAAGCTTTTTTGATTGCTCTTAATTAAATTTGTCAAAACGGGTTATGTTGGCAAATTGTCTGCTTACAACTCGATTTTATTGTTCCAATTGTTAACATGGAAAAGTGTTAATCTATCTGTTCCTGATTTCGAGTACCAGTTGTCCCACTTTTGCACTGTATCGGAGATGGAGCCCTGAAAGACGATTAATTCAGCACGAACGCTTCTCGCACACTTAACTCTCCTGACTAATTAACTTTTGATTGTTCCTGACTGAGTCCCCTTAAGGCCAGGGAAAATTCAGCTTTCTGCCGTTGTCGATGGACAGCTTAATTAAATTTTAGCCAGGGTATTTCCACATTTGCGAGATGGTTATTTCGGCTGCCCGATAACTGGCTGCTGGCAACTGGCGTTGATAATTTGCTTTGGAAAGCTTTAATTTTATTTGCCATTTCTGAATTGCTGTTGCAATTTCTGCTGCATTGCAGTTGACATGTGCAAAAAATGACCAAGTAGAATGCAGTTACAAATTTGGGGGCAGAGGAATTGGCCGGGCGAAAATATATGAACCAAATCAAATGCACATTTTTCAAATTCATTGAATTTGCAGCGCATTTACAACGCAACAGCACTGGGTCTCCCATTTATGTATTTCATTTCATTTGTTTTTCCATGGCAATACAAATGCGAATGCGAATGCATTTTTGCATTTTTTTTTTGCTCCGAATGGCAGCGTGACTGCTGATAGAAGGTGAATCGGGATGGGGGCAATTGTGCATCGTTGGCGAATTTAATTGGAAATGAAGTGTGCGACGGTCAGAGCGAAGCCGAGAGTGAGCCCCATGAAATCCGAGTTGTGCACAAGATTATTTTGTCAATAATCGAAATAAATTGAATTTATGAAATGAATTTCATTACAAACACGAGATATACACAAATTGGTTATACTAATTGAAGCTTAACAAACAGGACAAGTGAGCCCTGCTAATCGACTGCCCGCACTGAGGTTGGTATGAATGGCCTTTAGGCTATTTGCTGGAATTTAAACTTCTCTTTATTCTTTGGACCACTTCTCGAGTTGATTTAGATTTGATTGTGTTGAGGTCATTAGCAGGGAAGGGGAGGCGTCTGATCACCATTTGAAATGGACTCCTGCATTATTCACTTAAAATATGCAAATATTTTCTTTTGCCAAGTCAACTTGGCTATTTTTTCTCTTTTTTCCGCGGCTTTTCTTTTCCCAACTGCGAGGGAGAGTGGGTCGAAAGACCCTTCATAAATTTCATTATTCTTTTTTGTAATTTTTGATGGCCATTAAATGCAAATTATAAAAGCTAAAATACACAAAAACAGCAAAGTCTAATGGACAGGGGCGTGGCCGGTGGACATATTTTTTGGTGGCCATCCATTTAAGCATTAGCGCTCAATTTAGCTTTTAATGCCGTTTCCGTTGCCTTAAATAAAAATTCAATTACTCACACACACACACACACGCACGCACATTAAAAGAACGAGAGAGCCATAAACACACAAACAGTCACGAGCTGCGCCGTTAATGCGTTTAAAATTGAAATAATTTTATTACCCATACGCCCCGTGGTCGCACATAAATGCTCACATTGATGCGGGGACAACCAGAACGCACATAAAAGTTTATACAAACACACTCGTCAAAAACGTTTTATTTTTTTTTGAGAAATTCGCCATTTACATTAATTTTATTTAAAGCGTTTCCTTTCTTTTTAACCAAGAAATTATTATTTTTATTTAACGATTCATTTGTGTAAACTTAGTGCCTTCAAAACCATTAAATATTTTAAAATTCAGGATGACAAAAGCTGTTACTCAAAATATGTATATATATATAATTTTTAATTTTATCTCATTTTATAAATTAAAAAACAATAATTAAAGGCACAAAGTAGATGTACTTCTTCGTTTAACAGAATTCGGTTAAATCTGTCCTTTTTTTGTCTCTTAGAGAAAAGTATTGTATGTGGATATTTCGATATTTTTAAATATTAAAATTTAAAATATACAGTATTACCAAGGAATGGTATTACTGTTTGTTTTGGCAATTAAATTATTGTAACTCTTTAACTAAAATCTTATACCCTCAAAAACAAAAACTAGGCGAATTTCTCAGCTTTTTGGGCTACTTCGTCTCTCAGTGAACTTGTAGTGTTTGTGGGATCCAACTCACCTGCATGGAGCGACGACTGGAGCCGCTGTTGGACCGCGACAGCATCGGCGGTCGGCGCTTGGTGGCCCCGCGTCCGGCAAGCAGGTTGTTGAGCAGCGAGGGCGAGCGGGCGCAGATGAAGGCGTGGAACGAGGAGACCGTGAACACGCCCAGCTTGTTCAGTGTGTTCTTCGTGGGTCGCGACACGTGAGTCAGCAGCGACTGTTGAATAAATGACGAATGCAAAAAGTTTCAAATTAAATGTGAATAGAAGTTATTTTGGGGACCGAAGTCCAACTCCCCCTGCTTCAACCAGTTGCCCGTGCCCCCAACTAATTTTGTTATATTTACGATCCTTTCAGTGAGCATTAAATAGCAGACAGTACTCGTACACCCGTACACCTATGCAAATAAGCCTTTGGCATTCTGCCGTCGACTCTGAAGTTGTTCTCTTCACAGGTGCTGAAGTTGTTTGCATTTTGTGGTTATTAATAATAAATAATGTTGCTTTTCAGGGCACACAACTGCACTTACCACCCCCTGTTGAAAACCTCACATACCCTTCTTCAAACCCCGTTTTGCTTGCCATTAAAAGCGCAATCAACTTTCAACCCATTTGAGTCAGTCAGTCGGCGTTCGCAAATCCTTCGAAGGTTGCCTACAGTTGGCGCTGCCGAAGGTTGCCTTAAAGCCCATTTAAGATGCTTAAACTTTTGTTATGGAGATTAATTGTGCATGTTTGGGTTTTGATTTTCCAAGAGCGTACCACTGAACTTACTCTGCCTCTGCCTCTGCCTCGTCCATTGTGCAAATAGGAAGAGGTAATTATAGACAACTCGAACCCGTAAAGGGTTTTAAACGGAAATGTAAACGGGTTTCGGGGAATATTGTTGTTGTTGTTAGAGGGATTTGGGCAAATGCCATTGTGCCGGTATTAAGCTCTCGACCAGGTTGTGAATCTGCTTTTGATGTTCCTGTAAAGCGTGGAAAACTTAAGCCTTGTGGTGGCTTTAAGAAGGCATTGTACTGGCATTGAGCAGTTTATAAGGAGTAATTCAAGGCTGTATTGTACTAAATTTGCTGATTAATTTCTAATTTAACTAAGCCCTCACATAAAGACAGTGTGGGTACACTAAATGAAAATCAATAAGCATGAAGGACATTTATTAGCTGTCTACATATTATAAATGTTATTTATTTAATGTACTTTTGGGCCACATTTTAGTTTGATTAATTAGCCAAGTGTTAAAATCTTAAAAGCCTTTATTGTTTTTAATATGAAAAACTTTGCCACTAATTGCGTGAGGCTAAGGCTGATTACTTATACCTTAAATGGCTCTTAGACACCAAAGCTACACAACAGGCAATCACTATTTATTGAGTTTGCCAAAATGAAATATTTACATTTGTTTGGTTGGCTCCATAGAATGCAAATATTCAACAAATTTATTATATGATAATAACCTAGTCAATAAATCACATTATACTATTAAAAGCTATTTCATTTTTGAATAAATTTTGCTTTGTCTAAAACTACTTAAACATAAACCATTTTAATATACTCAAAAAAACTTAAATTCTTGTAAATCGCTAATCAAAGGTAATTCATTGTAGTTTGCCACATGAATTACACAAAAATTGTATTATAGGCATAATGAAATACAAACTTAAAGCGCGTCTTTTATGCTTTTTGAAAGGGCTGAGAAGTAATATAAAACAAATGGAGCCCAACGAAACGCACTCTCTTCAACAGCCCCCAAATGTAGGCAATACTTTTTGCCCTAACAACTGTGCCCGTTCTGGATGAACTATGCAGCCGCCAGAAGGCAGTGCATCAGCCATTAATTGCATTTGACTTATCTCTTTGACAGGTCGCATTTGAGGCCACTGGGGCTGTGGGCTGCGTACTGTCCTTTTGGCCATAACTCACCTTCGGATTGGGCAGCTCGCCACTTTGCAGCGAGGCCATGTAGCATCGCAGCCGGAACTGTTCGCAGTGCAGCCGCTCCAGGTTCTCCTCCCACTGCAGTATCTGCGTCTGGATCTGATGACGCGTCTCCTGATCGGTGACAACTGATTGCTGCAGCTCGGCCATGTGCTTCAGCTTGTGATCCTGCGAGGGGCGAGAGGGGAAGGAAGGAAAAACCGGGTTAGTGCGAAAGCATATGCATATATATTTGGTGTACCATAAGGATGTGTGTGTGTTCGGCTGTGTTCGCGAGCAGTGCGACACTGGTTGGTGGGTTATGAAAGCATCCGAGGCATGGCATCATTAGCATTTCATGGCAGCTTTGTCCCACTGCCGCTGCTGCGGTGGCTGCCATTTGACGAAAATACATAAATCACGCGTCATGTGCAGCTAAAATTTTCCAGCTTTCCAGCTTTCCCTCTTTCCTCATTTCCCCATTTGTACCCCGGTGCAATTCAAATATCTCTCGGCTGCCCTGGCCTCCTATCCCTGATACTGAAGTGCGTTGGCAATGCACCAAAACAAAAAAAAAAAGAAATTCCTTTTTGGGTGGGGAGCGAACGGGAGCACGGGCATCTACATGCCCCTGTTTTCATTACAAATACCGTTTGACTTCCGCCGCAGCTGCCTTTCTCCTTTTATTTCGGTGGGCTCGAACCAGAACCAGAATTCAGCATTTGAAATCCCACTTTGGATCCCACTTTCACGTGCATTTATAGCACGCTTGCATAGATCTCATGGAGCACGTGATTGTTTCATTTTGGTTGCTGCCGTTGTTGCTGCATTTTGACTGCTGCATTGAATGTGAGTCAGTAAGCTGACAATTATTTGCAGATGCAGATGCAGATGCAGTTGCCGGTTGCAACCGTGTGTGTGTGTATTTGTATTCGTGGGTTTGTGTGTTTGTATGTGTGCCGTGGGCGTGGCAACAACCTGAATAGGCACTTTCGATGTTCGACATTTTAATGAATGTGTACACATAAACAGGCAGCGGCGGCTGAAGGGCGAAATGGTTGGCATAAGGGAAGTCCCACCTGGGATTACGTACGACTCCCCCAACTGTGTATTTGAACTGGGCGACGTTGAGCCCTTTCAATGTTTGTTTTACGTGGAAATAAATCAAAGTTTTATGCATTTTATTTGTACATTTCGCATACGAATGCTCGGTATGACAATGTGTGCACTGCGGTGTCATCAAGTCGGTAATTGATACGTGTGAGTGGGGCAACTTCACTTAATTCAATCCCACCAAAGATGGCTATAATTCCTAGTTGAGGTCTAAGCCATCTCGGTCGGGCTCTATATTGGTCAGGCATAAAATTGGTTAATTAATAAACCTAAATCCCATCGTGCACTGCGGTCGCACACACACACTCTCGCAGAAGTGTGTTTTGGGGTAAGACCCCTCCTCTGGACTGCTGTCAATGGCACTTGGCACTTGAGGAAAGCTGCTTATTTGACAAACACAAACCGGAAGGAGGCGGGATGGCTCCCGAAGAGACACTTATCTCGGGGCAGTGTGAGTTTTGTGAATATTTACAATACAAAACTGAGTTTGAGGGGGCAACAGTTTGTCCTTGTCAAGGAAATATGGGTTCTTCCTGGCCCATAAATAGCTCTCGCCTGCTTGACCATTAATCGCCCCGGTCATTGTATCCATTGTGCTGCACTTCATCTCACCCACTCTCCCACTCTACCACGCTGGCCATTCTCGTTTGGAGAAGGCCCTCCAAGGGTTAATGGCAATGTTAATGGACTTGTAATTGCCATGCAATTGGGAGTGTAAATCACGCAAACGATAACTCCCCGCCAGCGATCCTTGGACTGCGAATCGCTCCTGGGTGTTTGAACTCCACTGGGTGTTCAATTCGAGAGAGAAATGTTTGCTGCACATGCAAGGGAAATATTTGACAAACAAGGAACGCTATCTGCTCCACCCAGGAAACTGAAGCTTTTAAAGCCATTGCATAAATGAATACCTAACGAACCCATTTTTACACGTTAGCCGTTGGTGTTATTTTTGTTTTGTTAAAAGTTAACAAAGAGGATTTGATTTGCCGTTTGTTTTAATATAGTTACATATTGATGGATGTGTTAGAAAGCTGGATTGGAAAGTCTATAGAAAAGAATATTCAATGCATTTCTAAATCCCTGATCTGATATTGGTAAATATTATTTTAATATTTTACTAGCATTGTTAACTCAATAAGCAAGTAAGTAAGTCTTAAATCTATGAGCGTAATGGGTATATAACTAGAAATTGTTATATCTGCAACAATTCTACCTAAGCTCTAAAATTACCTCATTTACATTAATTGTATATTTACGTTTAGTATTTTAAAAGTCTGTTAAAACAGAATTATAGATACCACTTAAAAGAGGACATCCATGTTAAAGTTTCTTTTTCCACTCACTATACATGTTGTCAAACTAAATTGTCGAGCTGTAATTGAGTTATTAACCATCTATACACAGTCTTATTTGAAAAAAAAGTCTCTTGTTAGTGGATATTTGTATTAATAATATATAATTATTTTTTTAATACTTTTCCTTCAGCTCAAGAATGGTTTAAATTGAAAAATTAAAGTTTATTAAGTACCCTTTTGGTGATTTGGTTTTCAAAACACAACTTTTATTGCTTCACGATGGAAGTAGGCTAAAAACTGAGAAATCGTCTGCAATTTTTCAGTTTAAAACTAACTGCTAGCTAACCAGGGAGTCAAGAAAACGGGTCTTAGTTTTGATGTGGCTAAGTATTCTTTATTTGAAGTCAATCTCCATTAAGGTTAGGTTACACCCACTCAGAATGGCTCGTCACCAATTTTGAGGCTTCCTCCCAACCAAATCCATTTCACTACTCCTGTGGGTGGCTATTAACAGCACTCCCAGGACACGGGATGCACTTGTGCAGGAGGCTCTAAGGCTCTGAGTCTCTGGTCACGGTCTCGCTGCGGTGGGCGCTTGTTTTGACACATGTCACGCGCTAAGTGACAGCCCCAGCCACAGTACGAGCGGCTCCTCCTTTCCGGTCTTTCGACTCCGGCAACCGGAGTACGGCTACGGATCCGGGAGTGGTATCGGCTTGAGATCCAACGGACTGCTTCCATCTCAGTTCCCGTGAATTTTATTATTGCTGCATAGTTGGATTCCCCATCTATTTCCCCTTTTCCCTAGCCATATCTGTCGCTCCTTGACGATGAGTTTTTGCGGTTCGCCTATTTAGTTGTCCTGCCTCGACTGTGTTTCTGTGTATTTGTCCCTGCCTTCTGCCTCGTGCCGCCTGTCCCCCTAGATCCTGTCCCACTCAGTTGTCCTGTGGTCGTGTGCCTGTGGTCCTCCCGTTGTCTGTTGCGCTTTCATTAAGCGCCACTTGAGGCTGCCTCTGCCCCTGATGATGCCTCCAACCCAGAGCTCACATTTGCGAGGGAGTTGCACAGGGAGAAAAAGCATTCCTCTATCGTGGTTCAAAATTAATTAGAGGTTTTGCCAAATAATGCAACTGACATAAGACTGATTGATATGAGTATGAGACTCATATATATGTTCATGTATTTCTCAGGGGAAGTAATTATTTGTTCTTTAAGTTTTACAAGAACATTGTTGAAGTGACATATGGAATAAGTTTATTTTCCTCATTATTCTTATGTTTCTCAGGGGAAGTAAATATTTTTTCTACCATTTTAACAAGAATATAAAAGCTGTGGTTACATTTTACGAATGATTGTCACAAATTTGCTTTGTGAGTGACATTTTTATATTCAAGACTCAGGGTGAATAATTTTAGAAAAAATTAAAATTAGTTTACAACTCATAAGAATAATTTCCTCAAAACATTTACTACGTTTTAATTTTCTCACATAAAGGATGTCAAGTGTAACTTTTACCTTTAATTTTCTAAAACTGAATTGTTAAACAATTATAAAAGTGGTAACACAGATATAATTAAAAATAATTTAAACCTAAGTAGGGACTTTTTTTTAAATTGAGCAACCCCTTAGTTCCTTCAGTGTGGCATCTGAATCTGAAGCTGGTCGGGAGCTGCCATTGCCATTGCTATATGTACTTGTTATTATTATTGCTGGTCTTGTTGTTGTCGTTGGTCTGCCATTTCCGCTTGAGAGTCGAGAGTTTGTAGAGTTCATGGTTCTTGTTTTGTTTTTGTTTTTGCTTTTGTTTTCGTTTTTGTTTTCGTTTTCCTCCTGTAGCTGCTGTGTTTTGGTTGATATATGTTTTTACTCGGGAGTACAATTAAAAAATACATTTTACCATTGTTGTGTCCCCGTTGTCAGCGCTCAACGTATCTCGCATGACAAGCCAAAGATGCTTGAAATGGCAAAACCACCAGGACAACAATAACGGCAAAACAATGACTAAAATAATAATCATGCGCCGGCAGTCAGGCAAAGGACTCGTCGTGACCTGGTGGTATCAGTTTATTTTGTTTGCCACTGCTAATGGCTCCTGTCCCTGCCAACTTCACTCCACTCCACTCCATTCGATAAGAATCAATTAATGTGGGCGAGCAAAAGGAGGCTATCCTGCGCCCCTAAAGGATATTGAGTTGTTCAAAGGAGATGACTTTTGACATGGCTTCTGCATTAAATGGCTGCTCCATTGCAGTCAAAAGTCAGGGAAGAGGGTGAAGGTGAACGTGAACGTGGACCCTCTCTGCATAAACCGCAAAATGAGGGGTTTGTCCGGCCCATGTCAACAAAAGGCCTGCAAAATTGTATATGGTCTGCATAAATGCTGACCACAAAATGATGCCACATTATATAACGTGTTGTGAGTGCAGCAGTTGAGCGGTTGGTACAGGGACTGGGGACCGGGGAAAGATGTTAGGCCCGAATCCCCCGAACTCAAACCTCTAAACTGGCGCCTAGGTCTGTGGCCACAGCGCAGCGAAGTGGACGAGGATGGGGATGAGGATGAGCTAGCTACTGGCCATTGGGTGCTGTTGACAATTGAATTGAATTTTCCGCCCCTGACCACAGCCACGCCCACTGTGTCAGCGCCTACATAAAGCATATTCTCGCATCTGCATGCAGCAGGCCCGTTCGTTCGTTCGTTCGTTTGTGCCTAGGCCAACAAAAACAAATCAAAAACCAAAGCAAACGCATTCTGCGCAGGGGGGGTCATGGGATTAAGGGCCGGTTCCTGCCGTTCTAATGTCCTCGTATCCTGGCCCGGTGGCAACCATATGCCAGACCCATTTCCTGTGCAACTTTGGGCCAAAAGTTGCAAAAATATTCGCACGTTTGGCCAAAAACAAAGCTGCGCCGGGGTCACCACATATGGTATATTTGTAGGAGTGTGTGTCACCTAGCCCGTGCCTTTTGTGCCGGACTTTGGAGTTCAACTCGTTTCTCATATTTCTTGCCATAAATTTGTACCATTTTGGCATTAGTTTATGAAATGCCACGCCTTACTCACATGCACGCCCACGCCCAGCGCCATATATATACGTGTGTGCCAGGTCAAACTAAAGTTTTTTTTTTCCCATCATGAAGAAACCTCAGGACAAAAACGAACCGAACAAGTACATTTTATGGTAATTATAAACTTTATGGTTTCATTAAAAAATATTGAAGAGAGAATGGAGCAGCAAAAGTAAAAAACACCAAAAAAAAGTTCACTTTACGAGTGGAAAATGGAAGAATTTTTGGTGAAAAGGGGAACTCATTGTTTTCCCCCTTTCCCCGCTGCCCATCGAAGCTTCTTCACATTTTGTGCGGCTTTAAGTTGGTCTAATTAAGTAAAGTTTTCGGTGTAAGTTAAAATTAACTAAATATGCATTTCATTATAATTTTGGTTTACAAATTTTCGGTTTACGGCCACGCAAAGCGTTGCTAGCCAGCAGAAAGGCGAGTAAAAGATAAGTGTGTATGTGTATGTACATGCGGTTGAGTTTCACTTTTATTATTATAAATTTAATTGGCCACTTTTGACTTTCCCTCGAATGTGTGTATAACTGGTGGAGTAATAAAGCCAAAGGAAATTTAAATCTTCAATGCAGGCGCAACTTCTGTAATGATTGCCCACTTTCCGGCTCAGCAGTCAAGAAAAACAATTTTCATTTACTAAATGTTTTCATAAAGCGCAATAAAAATTTTTTACTGCCACCCCGACTGCACAGAAATTGCGTTAAGCCATTGCCATTCACGACTGTTGCATCATTTAATTAGTGCAATTATTTAAAATCGATGGCGGCCGCAACCAAATCATTTGGCCGCAATAAAAACTGCGGTTAAGGTATTTAAAAAATGTGCAATATAACTAAGTAACTGTGTGAAAAATGAGTTTAAAGAAAGGAAAAACTTTAACACCGGAAACCATTGATGGTAAATAGTTGTTGATCAGAAAAAAATATTTAAAAGCTAAAAGATTCAAAACTAGTTTCTAATTCTTTTTTTCAACTCAGCTTAGTTTGAGTTTTTGTTTTTTTTTTATTATTGACAACTATTGTTGTTTATTGTAATGGTGTGGTATGGCTTTCTGTACTGAAAAATATTCTTGCTAAAATAAAAAGATGTATATTTTTGTACTGCTACGTGACGAGCATGAATTCTTTTGCTTAAAAAGTTATTAACATTTTTTTAAACATATCATTTAATGTGAGATATTTTTGAGCTGCTGAATATGCGTTCGTTAGCAAAGGAATTTTTTGTGGGATACGAATGTTTTAAAAAATGTTAAAGCAAACAACAATTTAAGCCCAAAGGTTTGGCCAGGAAAGCCGGGGGCGAAATTGGTGGGCGTTTGCTAAAAGAGGGCGTGGCGGGAGTGAGCTGGCTGCTATTGAGCTGAAATGACAGCAGCCATTGCAAATTGAAAGCATCCCTGGCAGAAGGTAAAAAAGCAGGAGCGAGATCAGCAAGTGAGCCTTGTTTAGACAGCGCCGCCATGGCAATTGCACATCAGGTGCGATGGCGTGTGGAGGGAGGGGTTGTTGGTCTATGAAAGGGAAGGGGGGTGGATGGTGTAGCCAGGTGCGAGTGGGTGTTGGCTGGTGGGTGGTGGAGCTGGTGTCGTAGGAGTCGTAATTAGAGCGTAAAAACCAGAGCGTACGAAAAACCAAACGCGCTCGGGCAGCTACTACTATTTTTTTACGGCCCAACATTGTGTATGTGTGTGTGTACGCTTATGCGAGTGTATGTGTGAGTGTTAGTGCTTTATGCGAGAAGAAAAATAGATAGCTAGAAAAAGAAGCAGCTGGAGAAGAAGTATACCCACACATAGAAAAAAAAAGACAGGGAGCAACTAGAAAAGCTAAAGCAAACGAAGCGAAGTGCTGCCAAACCGCCCCCGCCCCCGCCACCGCCCCCTTTTTACCGCCTCCCCGCTGACACATATATGATTATTTCCGAAAGGTGACAGCTATAAAAAACAACAACAAGCTGGCAGCGTAGGCGGCACACAAAAGTAGAAGGCAAGGCAACAACAAAAAGTGACAGAAAAAAAAGGACAGCACTGTTGCTCTTTTCACAGAAAAGGGGCGGTGGGTGGTAGTGGGTGGCAGTTCGGTGGTTTAGCTGGGTGCCGGTGACCCGTCCACACACGCCAACACTCACAAAAGGAGCAACTAGAATGATGCGTCGGTGTGACACCTTTTTTATTCCTTCTGTCTTTGCCTTACTTGGCTTTTCTTTCTGTTAATTTCATTCAACTTTCGTCGTATTTTTCTAGAAAATTAATTAACAACAAATGCATCAACGCAGTAATACTAAATACTAAATGCAAACTGCATTTATGGCCACTCCTTAAGCTCATTTAATTAATATTCATCCAACTAGTTTGTTTTCGGCCAACTGAGGCCCACTTTTCGGCCTGGCTGGGAAATGAGGAAAAGCGGAAGCAATAGGACCCAGAGCACTCTTATGGCAATCTCGGACTTCCGCTCAATGGTTTTTGTTTTTTTTCTCAGCTTCTTTTTTTTTTGTTTTTTTTTTTTGGCCAGCGAAGTAAACACAAACAGGCCGAGAGACAGAGGAACGGAGCAAAAACGCAGCAGTTCAAGGAAGTAATTATGGTTTATCCAAAGGGACAGATAGTGGAAGATGGATGAAGGAGCACGGCAAGTGCAGGCCCTCTCGCTCTGGTCATAACATCAAACTACAACTTTGCCGAGCAAATGAGAAAAAAAAACTAAATTAAAAAAGGGCGCCAAGAAAAAATTGAGGTGGGCGGGGAATGCTCACAGAAACTGGGGCACACAGAAAAAAAAAATACGATGACTTGGTTAAGATCATGTAAAATATTTTCTTAGAGTTTGCTAAAATCTATTTGTTCAGATTTTGTAATTAATATAGCTATAATTTTTGAAATACAAACGAGATTAATTCCGCTTTTAGTTATTGAAAATCTATAAAGACAGATTTATTTTGTATTATTTTAATATTTTATTATTCAAACTTCAAACTTTACCAATATTGGAAGAAATTGTGAGCAAGAAACTTAAAATAAAGCCTATAAAGATAATATGTCCTTAAGCTTTTGTGACTATCGCATTAAATTTTACAAGTTTCTTTCTCCAACAATAATTTTAAAACTCTTTAAAGATTTTTATTTATAGAGACAGATTTTATATTCAACATAAGAAATGTCGAAATTTGCAAAAAAAAACTTAAAACAATTTGAAAAAATTAAATCAATTTTGTTAAATTTTAGGCTCTTTAGAGATTTCCATGAAGCGATCGATTTTCTATCGTTTTAAGATTAAACTATGTACTATAGTCACAATAACCTTAAAGTTAATGTGGCTTTAAGCTTTTGTGACTGTCGCATTAAATATTATAAGTTTCTTTCTATAACAATAATTTAAAAATCCTTACAAGTTTTTAGCTGGTTATTAATTATTGCACTAAGCAAACTTCTACGAGTCACTTCTTATAATAATTTCAAAACTTTCTATTTGCTGAATTTGCCATAACCGGAAGTTGTAATTTTCCGACAAACACTGTAGCAGCTGAGGCGGCAAGAGCAGAAAAGCACCAGCGATGTTAACGACAGAGACGAATGAATCAAGTTGTTGAGGATAGGACAGACAACATAATTGTCTTTTGGAGTCCTTCTAACTAACTAACAAACAACAAGAAAAACTGCGGCAGCGGAGGCCAAGAAGAAATGGGTGGTGAAAGGGCCGGAGAGAAAGGCAACTGAAAATGACATGATGAAAAATAAATAAACAAATAAAGTTTACTTTCTTTGGCGCAGGCTGGATGGGTTTCATATCTCCCCCACGGTTTCCAGTTGCCTGGTTTATCCAGAGCATTTATCGTGGGCCAAGTGCAATTTCTTGTAGTTTCAACTCGAGTTCAATTCTGTTTGCTTTTACGATTCGTTTTTCCATCTTTCCTCCTTTTGCTTTGTCTTGCGATTTGCGCGGAGCAAAAATTTTCCTCACTTTGATTCCCTTTCTCGACTCCACTCCCTTTCCCATTTATCCTTTTTACAAAAGTTTTCGCTGGAGAGGAAAATAAATTGCAGTGCAAGGAATTTTACGCTGTTTGCCGCGAAATTGATGGGGAATTGATTTGAAAGCAAATACATAAATAGTTGCCAGTAGAAGCAGTTTGCCCCGCAGTCGATGCCTCGACAATAGCATAAATCTTTGGGGAATCGCCTGAGACTGAGAAATTGGTTGGGAATGCGGAAAATGCGGACGGAGAATGCGATTGTTGTGTTCCGTCGCCTGTTGTGCTGTTGACTTCTGAGTTGACAGTGCGATATTGAGAAATTGTTGTCCTGCAAAGGATATATCTATGGGAATTTGTTTTTCTAGTCGATTACATTAGTCATTGAGTCAAGGTAGTGGAGTTCCCAAAGGAGTTATGGAGCTGTCGATTTGTTTCTGATACGACAAAATGTTTTATTTTAAAGTATTACTAAAGGAAAATAATTAATAAAATTTTTTTTTATTGCCAATTATCCTTACAATCGTTTCCTATCTTTAAACAGCAAAAATAATAAGCTTATTGTTCCCTGTGGCATTTGCAACCAAAGCCAACTTTATGTTCACTAGTGACTTGATAAATTGCATTAAATTTGTGGGTCATAGCACATGAACTTCTTGACATTGCTCATCATAATTCAAAATATTTACCAGACATAACGACATATTTATTCCTACTCTAAGAGAATTTAAGCACATAATGCATAACCGAACTGATGTGTAATCCGCATTCGATGGGTTTCCTAATTTAATTCGGCATTCGTCTGCCATTCAATTCCGTTCTCCATTCAGTACAGTGCGATTCATAACAGTTTTAAATCCTATTTGGTATTCGCACAAATGCTATGATCGATGATGCATTCGTAAGCGATACCAATAGATGGGACATTGGTTGCATTTGCTATTCAGTGGGGCTTAGACCGCCTTACGGCGACGAAACGCAGCTTTATCCCTTTGACATGGCTGTGCGCCATTCATTTTGCATTGCAGCCACTTGGCAAAATTGACTTAACTCTCGAGCAGCGAGCAGCAAGCAGCAACAATTTCCCGGGCCAACAAAGCCGCAGAGTCTGCAACGAAATGTGAAATGCGATATGCGAGATGCAACCGCAATCCAAGTAGGTGTTCCTTGGATATCCCGTCGTTTTCCAGGTGCCCCACGTGCTCCATGTGCTCCAGGCACGAAACCGCAACGAATACTTTTGCACGCTCGCAGGCCCGCATTGAATGTGTATTAAATTGTGTTTGGGTTTTTGGGATTTTGCGATGTTTGCGTTTTTGCGTCATGCATATATTTATCATTTATTCCGCATCTGGGGGCCAACATATTTACTCACCGACTCAATGGCCTTCTCCAGCCGGAAGATCTCCTCCTGGAGCAGGTGCAGCGTGCCCGTTTTTCCGCGATGTCTGGCAAAGGCGGCGGCACAGGCGCTATGGATGCTGTTCACCCAGTTCTCAAGTTCCACCTGCGAATGAATGGAAATGAAGGTTGTTAAAGAGGAAACATTGTAACAAATTGCAGACCAAATGCACCGCAAGCAATTTGATGGGCCTCCCCAGCGCCAAACGTCGAACTTGTACCCCAACTGAAAGCCATTTCATACCCGCTCATCGCTGGCTATCAGTTATGCAAATTTAATGACAAATCACGTTGCGCTACGACGAGAGTTGGCAGTCAGAAGGACGAACAGGATGCACAGGACGAGAGGGGTGTGCAAAACGTATGCCTTTGAGACATGTAACAGTTTAGGGCTGCCACAAGGATGCTGCTGCCACTGCAGCTGTTCAAGGCAATCTGCCAGTTGGCAGTCAGTCAACGCCACCTCAATCATGGCTCACACTTTAAGCCGCCCCCGGCTCCTTTCAATCCCCTTCCCTTTCCCACAGTATATCGCTCACTCTCTCTCTCTTGAACAGACTTTTGCGGGTTGCGTCAGTCAGCGCCTTGCCAGCGTCCTCGTTCATGTCCATGTCCTCGTCCTCGTCCTGTATCTGCATCTGCATCTATGCACACTAGCAAAAATAAGAATGCACTTTTTTTTTAAGTATGCTATAACCAGATGGGTTTAAATTTGAAATTTGAAATTTTAATGAATGTATATAAAAGTTTTTAAGTTTACCACACTATAAATGGCATTTACCAAAGCAAAATTATTAATTCAATTTTATTTATTATGATTACAATATTTAATTTTCTATAATGATTTATTTTGTATATTTGTTAAAAGTTATACGTTTTCCACCTGAAGATGAATATTTCGTAAATGCCAATATGTGTGTACTTTTTACTCTGCATTTTAAAATATTTTAATATATGAAAACATGTTTTCCGTTATAATTATTGCGATTTTAAAGTACACAAAAAGTTTTTGTGTTAGCTATTTTAAAAAGTTTGAAATACTTTAAGGCAAACATTCATGGTTATTGAAACCAACTTGCTAAGTTAAATCTTAATGTAGAAAAAAAATTGAAATTGGACATATTTTAAGACCTTTTTCAAAGTGCATTAATCTCCATCTGTGGTTTCTTTTTGCCATACATTTCTAGCCAGCCTGGCGATTATGAGAGAGCAGGGTGACTCGGACCCGCAAGCCCTGGACTCGCCTATCCTTGCATATCCTTGTGCAAACAAATTTGCGCTGCCATCTTTCTATGCTCCGACTTCGGACGGGCGGCAAGGCCAGTCTTTCATAGCTTCCTTGAAGGACTTCCCTCTGATATTGACTGCTCGAAACGAGAGCGAGCATGTCCTGCGGCTGATATATACAGCCAACCCCCCAACCACCCAACCACCCACCCAGCCAACTCACACCCGCGACGTAATAGAGATACTCACCTGACAGGGCGCCTGGAAGAGATAGGCATCGCCGAACGCCGTGCTAAGACAGAAGATGTAGTCGCGTTTGGGATGCTCTGGTATCGGTTGCATAATTGCACCATCCACGATAATCAAGTGCTTGGGCGCCGCCTCCACACTCCGGCCCTCGCGGGAGTCGCACGGATAGAATAGCAGCGTGGTGCCCTTCAGGCACACCCAGTAGCCCTTCCAGCCCCGCTTTCTGGCCAGCTCGATCTGGTGCTTCTTGCGTAGTAACCATTTCTTTACCGATAGGAAGCTGCAAGCAAACAATTCGATGTGGTTCGGTTCGGTTTTGTTAAGTGAGCAGGGGGGCGGGGGAAAGGTCTCGTAATCCCTGGGAAAACTTCAACAGCTTCGCCATCAACCCATTAACCTTTGGAGCTAATCAAGACATGATAATTGGATGGGGCATGTCCTGCGCGCATAAGTCTTCCATCGGCTTATCATAACAGAAAGGGGGCGCTGATATTAAGGATCGAAGGTTGTCATACCCTAGACTACTTCTTTCTTTTTTTAGTATTTGTTGGATTTAACTATTTAAATAAGTCTTAATAATGCAACCATTTTAAGTCCAAAATAAACAACATTTATAGAAGACTTTGGCAATTGAGGCTACGTTTGAGGCAACTATTACTTCGTATTCTGCATTTCTATTTATTTTTTATAAAGTAAAACAATCTATTGGAAACTTCAGCCCTACTTGACAGTAATATTATTGGAAATGTAAACTCTAAACTATTTAGTCTTATGATATTAATTTTAATATATTTCTATATACCTTTATTCTTGACATTACGAATGGGGATATTTCTTTGATCTATCTCAAGTCACGTTCACGCCTTGCTAATACTAATCAAGAATAAATAAAAGTTATGGCCTTAGCATAATCTACCTGATGTGCTTAGCACTTTGATACCTCCTCACAACTTTGATACCTCTTGCACGGACATAATAACGTTAATCCCCAGCCACTGCTTTCTCCACCTCTGACCACCTTAATCACTGTGAAATTATGTTCCCCGAGGAGGCTGCTGATGGACCGACCCACCGACCCACCGACTGGTTATTTATGATGACTTGTTGGACGTGAGCAGGTTCGGCCACAAGCCAGGATACCCACTCTATGCCTAGCTGCCAGATTACATCCACCGGCGGCATAAATTCCCAGATTCCCAGAAGAAGGAGATGGGATGGGATAGGATGGGGTTGGGGATGAGCAGGAATCGAGATGGAATATGAACTTACCCGGCTTTGCGAACAGCGCCCGTGCAGTTGAAGGAGGATGCAGCGGTGCCAGTGGCCTTTGCTTTATATGGTGACGCCATGACACTTTCCCCATCATCTTCATCCGAAACGGCGGTAGTTAGGCTCATTCGATCATCGTCCGAAATCTGCGGGAAGATTCAGAGAGCGAGAGGTTGTGGTGTTCAGAATCGAGAATGTGAGCAGTCAATTCAATTAAGACGCCTGGCAACACGTACGAGGTTTCGGTTGCCGGCGATAAAATTTAATAAATCGAACAGAAAATAATTGAAATAATTAAGTCATAATTAGCAGACAGCAGGGGTGGATGGCTGCCATCCACCAGCCACCAGCCACTGGTAAGCCCCATTGGACGAAGCCATTTGAAACCAATAATGGCCAGGTTGCTTGTTGTTGCTTGTTGGTTGTTGGTTGCCGTTGCTGTTGCTGTTGCTGTTGTCAGTGCCGACAGCAACATTTGTTACGTATGTCGTCGATAAAGCAATTTGTCTTCTCTTCTCGCCTGCATTTTTAGCGGGGCTGAAGTCGGGGAAAAACCGGACCGACAGATAGAGATAGGACAGGCCCAGACAACAATTGACAAAATGGCTGGGAGAACTGGGCGAAACGAAGGGAAATAAATGGCGAAAGGCAAACTGTTACTTGGCAATGTTATTTCATCAAAAGCCGGTTCGTCCGACTGACTGACTGACTGACTCACTAACTGACTGACTGACTCTTTGACTGAATGCTGTTTGCCTTTGGCCCGGCTGGCCATCTCCCAGCATCCTTCCGCTCGCCTTGCAGCTATTTTGCCATATCTGCAGGAAGGGAAGGCCAAAGTGGAGCAGCTGGAGGTGGAGAATTTCGGTCCATGTGGGAATTCAAGCCAAGACCAAAGTCGATGGTTCTGCTCGGGCTACGTGTCCCGCGTGGCAATAAAAATTGGTTTGCCCATTCATTCGTTTCAATCGAGGTGGGCGTAGCGAACCACCGACCACGCCCATCACCCATCGCTCTTCGCCCAACTGTCGCTCACTTGCTTTTCATGCCATTTTTATTTGAGTTCCCAAGGAAATCAATTTACAATGTGTTTATTCGTTTCGTCTCTCCTTCCTGTGAGTGTGGGTCCTTCGAACAGGACTTTGAGCCCAGCCATCCAGTCCCTGGTTACTACGATACTCCAGCCCCTGCTTACGTTTTGGCAATTTTCAAACATTTTTGCTCATATGCATGTTTTACAAGTTATTTATTTGACTGCCTGCCTGACTTTTTTTTTTTTGTTTGGGGAGCGGGGGGTCTGATGTTTGCTCTCGGGGCGGGGAAATCTCACCCGTGGCGAGGAATCGCCGTCTTTTGCCAGCCGGGGTCATGTGTACTTAACCCACAGCATCGATAGAGCGGAGTGGAGCGACCAAGTTTAATCAAATTTTATATTAATCGAAGAGCAGTGCAAAGGCATGCAAATAACCAAAGGAACCCAACCTGAGACGTGGCTCGCTTAGCGACTGAGGAGATGGGGTGTGGCGAGTGGTTGGAGGATGATGATGGCCGGGATGAGAGGGACCCAGATCAAAGCGGTTACAAGCTGCGAGGACCAAGGAGCAATGGGCACTCGCACCCCTCAAATCGATATCTGTGCGTGTCACTTTAAGTGGCTAAAAGAGTCGGGGGCGAACAATTTAAAAGGAAACTTCAAAAACACTCCCGCCACCTGCACTTCACCAAAACGAAATAGTTTCCGCTTGCTCAATGAAGTTTTCCATGAAATCATCAAGCCGAGCGGAAGCTGTCGACTGGAACTGTGTTGCAGGAAGGGGCGTGGAATTGAACTGTGGGTGAGTTGGGGGAACCATGTTTGAATCCATTTGAATTCAAGGACTGACCCAGTGAAAAAATCATTAAAACTGAGTCCTTTTCCTCATCATCAAATTATGCGACTTAAAGAGGTTTGAATTTAAGGTAAATACTTATGATGAACTGATACGGAAAACGGTTGGCTTGCATTCCAAGTGTTTACCAATTGAATTTAAGGATCTTCCGTCTAATCAACTTTAGTGATTTGAAGGGGTTCATTTGAATTTGAATCCTGAAGTGACTCAGTGAAAAACCTACTTTTGCTTCATACTTCTAATCAACTTCAGTGATGTGAAAAGGTTCAGGTTTGAATTTAAGAACTGAACTAGCTTCATACATCTAATCAAATTTTGTGATTTAAAGAGGTCCAGAGTAAGGTTACCCTTTTACTGCAGATTACCACGCATTTGGCATTTCTGCTGGTCATCCCAGGAGAGATCGGCCCGAGTCCGTATAGTTTGTCAAATGATTCATGAATTTTTAATTGGCCTGAAAGTGGCAGCAGGTAGAATGTTTCTTGAATTTCATCCCGAAATCCCAAAAACCCCAAACTGACAATGGGATTTCTCCTCTGGGCAGTCCATCTCCTGTCTACTTGTCCTTCCAGGACAAGCTCGCACGAATGGCTGAAAACGTTCACATGGGTAAGCCTAAATGGGCAACCCAAAACACGAACACGAATGCGTACACGGCCAAACAACAATCACACAAAAGATTAAATGCCAGCCAGTACGGGTTCTCGTTGGTCCCTGGTCCCTTTACCTCGTACCTCTCGTACCTCGTAACTCACCCAACTGATTACTTTGGGGCCTAATACGCCATATCTCAGCATCGGTGCAAAATCAAAATTCAATTTACGCACAGACGAACCCGCCCACTTAGGCGCATTGATGGGTTCTCATATATATAGAGCACATCTCCCCCTTTCCTCGCGCACATCCGCACATCCGCATATCCGCACAGCTGAGCCAGGTGCTTTCGTTACGATTTCTAATCAAGAATTGATTGTGATCCCTCGATGCGGCTGTCGTTCACGTTTCAGCCATAATTATCAATGACTTTTGAATGTCAAATGTGGACGAGATGAGCTGGGGAATGGCATGTCATTGGCACTGCCATTGTCACCTCGCCCCCTCCCGCCCCAAACATCTTCGTTCTGATGGTGAAAATCTTTTCATATGTCGCTGTCAAAAATTACAATATTTGATAGAGTGTTTATGCAGGGGTTTTCGTGCTATACCCTATATATCTATATATTTATATATATGTATTGACGAGGGGGTGGCAAGGTTAAGCTGGTTGGGGAAAAGTTATTCGGTGGCCGTGGCACGTTCCTGGCATTGCTGCGATTAAGTGAGGCATTAAAGAAGTTTTCGTTGCCGGCACAAATGTTGTTAGCCAAACGAAATTGATTCAAAGACGAAATCTGCAAGACAGCTGGGTTTGGGATAAAATCAGGGAATACTGACGAGCTTCGAACGTTTCGTAGCTGACTTGTAAAGTTTCTCTCTTTTTCGCAGAGCCAAATTGCTGCATTGCAATGCGAAAATCAATTTGGAATTATCCCTTAGCTCATTTCATTTGTGGGCTGCGAGAAGGGGCAAACGGATGGGCGGATGGGTGATAAACCTGCAATGTCATTCCGATTTGATTAAATATTCCATCCAGCGCTGAGCGCCAGCCTAATTGGCTGAAGGTGAAACTGTTTAGCATTGAATCAATCAAAATTAACAAGCGACTCGGAGCAACCTTGGAAATGGTTTTGCAGTAATCAAAGAACAGATGCGCAATGTTCGTGCCATTTTGGTATTCAGATCATGTGGACGGGTAACAAGCGTTAATTAGAGCAATGGTGGAATGGCAAAACTCACAGATATGCCGCCTTTAATCCGGTAAATCCGCTCCTTCTTTCATTCGGGACCATCTCTTTTATCGCTGATCTGGCCATTAATTAGTATGCATATCCATTCAGTTGCTAAGCCAACTAAGGCACCGCCAAGCTCCTCCATTCGGCGCCACTCATTTGAATATGTGTGTTCTCGGTATCTTTGTGCAGATTCAAGCACTGCATGTAAGACCCTTGACCAATGTAAATGTATCTATTTGCTTGTTAAGTTAACCAAACGAAGCTACAGGGATGCAAGGTAAACACAGATGCCGTGCGTTTCCAATGAATTCTGAAGTTGTTACTCACATTTAGAGGCTATACATCTGTGGTGCATGGCACGCTCTTTATCTACCTATTTTCAGACGCCCCATGTGTTGGTTCCCCCATGCTGGGCCACGCCCACAATGTTCCTAACTCCCCCTTTTCCATCAGCTTTTTCGGACAAATGGCCTTTTATCACTTTGAAGCCGTTTGATTCATGCGTATTGCAATCAATGCCATTCATTACCGAAAAACTAAATACAAGTACCAGTTTTTCCCACCCCTTTTTGCCACCACCTACCCCGTCCATGAACGCTATTTGTCCGTGTGTTAAGAGCTTTTCTCGAATGGCATGAGGTCGGGGGCTAATGCTCTAATTTATTGCTCCTTTGTGGAGCCAGAAAAGGAGCCCAGGAGCAGCTCGAGCGTGAAAAGGATGCTTTGGCTTTGATCAACGTTTTGTTAGGCAGCCCGAAATGAATTTGTACCAGTCAGACAATACACTTAACTGAAGGAATTCGCGGTGGAAAGGGAATTGGTCTCTGCTTTTTCGGCCCCGGACGACATTTTCTCACGCGCTTTTCATTTATTTGCCGCGGGAGTAGAAGTTCAAAGCATGCCTGACAAATGTATCCAACGCAAACGATTAGGATAAGGAATTGCCGAGTTTTCTAAATGAGCAACTTCGATTTTTATAATTTCATTTGCTGTCCTATTAACGTACAAAATTTGAATCTAATTTGGGAATTGGACTTTAAACCATAGTCTAACTTTAGGTAGAAATACACCTTATTAAGGAAAACTAAATCATTTGGGGGTGCCACAGAAATCTTTTGGTTTTTCAAATCACTTAAAAAGGTGTCTAAAAGTATGCAGTGAAAATTAGAGTATGGCCTTTCGGATTTAAACTAAAGTACATACAGTCTACAAATATATCACTGCATACCTTAAGACACCATTTTAAATAATTTCAGAAATATGGTGATTTAGTTTAGTTTTGAAGGATATTATTATTATTACCATACTTATAAAAAGGCTCCCTTCCTTAAAATAATGAATGAATAGTTAAGGAATATAATGCTACTCCTTTTCAAGAGTCACACATTTCTTAAATATACAGCTTATGATGATAAAACCTTGTTT